TGAAAACTCACATCTGATAAGAAGTTCTAATCAAACACAAATTCAGTTGAAGTGAAACAGTCTGTGGTTTTATCCATGTTTCTCCAAATTAAATACCTCTCATATGATATATGTAGATACAATAAGAACAGTATACAGTAAAACCTGTGTATATTTAACATTTTTTGCCAAGAAAAAATGTCCAGTGTTTCTAGGTGTTCACTTTAGAGAGGGTAATTTATGAAGAAGTCAGTTGAGTATGTGGGGAAGAAGGGTGTCCACAACAAACAGGTATTCGCTAGAGAGAGGTGTTCACTAAGAGAGGTGTTCACTAAGAGAGGTGTTCACTAAGAGAGGTTTTACTGTATATGAAAACCTCTCTTTTCTTAACACTTGGTTGGTTCTAGTCATTTAATAGACAGGTTTTACACAGTATATGTACTTACATATGTTTCAATGACTGCTACAAAACTGATCATTTGAAAATTGTGAGTGGTTGTTGAAATAACTTCTAACTTCTACAATTTCAATGTTTTTTTCAAAAAAGGTTTTGAGAGCAGGTTATAACAATTTCTTTGGTTTATTAAAATGTTCTACCCATTGTGTCTAGTGTATAAATAACAGATATATGATATTTTGGACAATTATCTATACCCTTAAACACAATACATTATGAAATGCACAATTCTTATATTATATTATTTTATGTATTAGTATTTTGTCATTATTTATTTTATACTAATATATGAAGTTTTTGTGCACACGCACATGCACAGAGTAACAAAAATGTCACATGACATGTGGGGCCAATATACTGGTATGTTAACCATTGAAAGAATATATTAAAATGTTTATTTGAATCTCAATATTTTGTATTTTGTTCATTTCTTGGTGAATGCCACAAGTAATGATTAATATATTAGAACATTGCTTCCTTTGTAAGATACATTTATGATATTAATTATTATCCCCCTACCAGTGCTTGTCATGAAGCCATTGCCATTATACAAGGTGAATATTTTCAATAATCAAACAAAGGAACCAATCAACATTTAAATTGCCTTAGAAATGACCTGTAATGTTTAATTCAATGAATAAGTGAATGTTCAAATATTTTTGGTGATAAAACTGTATGAACAGAACACTACCATTGCATAAAGATTGGGATTTAAAGAAGGTGTATTCAGAATTAAAGATCTTATACTTATCATTTCTATGACAATTAAAAGATGTCCCTAAGCTCCTATGATTAATTATAGTGTACTTGATATGATATGGTCGCAAATATTAATGTGTCATTTTTATTGCAAAAGTACTTTTATATGGGAAAGACTCAAAACTGTTGAGATTTTATGAAGCTATAAAAACACAAAAGCAATTCATCAAAGACCTACACTGTTAGTCTCGCTTCAAGTCCTTGTGTCTTCCAGTCTTGAAATACATGAAATAAGACTAGAAAAACACTTTGCAATTTAAAATTGTCCCCTCTTGGTGGGGGTCTATAAATAATAAGTCCATATTGATCCAAATGCCAATAGAATATATATCATTGCTGACTTCCTGTGTTGAGTAAATAAGTTGGCAATTAGTCTTTGTTTCCAATACTCCCTTGTCAAACATTAGCCTTTATTTCCAATACTCCTTTGTTAAACATGATAATAGAATGCTTCTGCTTGTCTTTGGAACACTTAGCATCGCTTATACTGCAGGAGTTTCATTACCATGAGGCAACAGGCGATTTTCACTGGTTGTTTTCACAAAATCGCCTGTTGTTTTTAGGGAACTTTTCCATGTTAAATTTATGATTTCCATTAATTCTGCCTGTTTTCATTTATTTAGCCTATTGTGAGAAATTCTAGTGTAACCCCTGTACTTTATACATGTTGATTATCTCCAAGTATAAAGCACATATTCAACAAATTCTCTTAAAGCAGCACATAAGGCCGTGAACTGATCATAGTAGAGTATTGCAATTGTAAAATTAAAAAAAACATTGAAAATCACATGTTTAACTGTTTTTTTAGAATATGGCCATTTCTTACATTTTGAAAGTATTGACTTTAAACTCATTTTTTCTTTAAATGTTACCCTGCAATATAATACAAGGCATTAACGTGAAAAATATCACTACCTGCCATTTGTTACCGAACACCAAGCTCTGAATGCTCAACACCAGCCGCTTAACAACATCCACAAAGAAGTGTTAGTGACATAGAAATGGGGAATATAATGTACAACCATCCTTCATTCAAAGGACTTCATTACTCAATTCAGAAACTCAATTTGAAATTATTACTCAATTGGAAAGAAGTGAAATACTCTTGGACCAAGGATGTGTACACTTTACAACCCCATTTGATAGCTTGTTAAGGTGGTTTTACCCAGAGGCCTAAAAATGACAGTATGATAAAGTGTCTGTATTTTTATATTAAAATGACACCATAAATAATGCTTCATAATCAAATAAAAAGTTTGTGTCACTGATCTCGATTATAAGTCACCATCACAAGAAGTTGGTGTTAGGTGACTGTAACTAATAACGGCAGTTACATTCTGCATTGTTTACTTGAAGCTAGTAAACACTTTGATCCGCCATGTTCGCGAATAGGGAGAAGGGGGTTAAGAGACACTTGTATCTCCAAAACTGAAAAACATGATTATTTCATTTTTTGACTCTGGCAGTGTAATGATTATTTGTTGATTTTAAGAAAATAGAAATCCTAGGTCACCAACTTTTTTTTATCATCGCTCTTTGAAAAAATACAATTTTTCAATTCATTGTATGTTTTTGTCTGACATGTAATTCATAAATCCATCAGAATTATGTATCAAATATAAAGTAAAATGTGTGATATCATGAAATTTATATGTCCTAAATCTGAACACTTGTCAAATCATTCCTCCTATGCTAAAGCACGGGGCCATCTATTGGCAGTAAACAACTACCTTAAAGCCTGTTAATTTCTGAGTTTATGTTTCTTGAATTAATTAAAGTTGGAAATTGACAAATTGGATAAATTATGAATTTTCAAACAGACTTCACGACATGGTCCCTGGGGAGTTAAATTTGAAGGTTATGGTAGAAAAGTGTATGTAGGGTAAATATTCGTAAGCAGAATAGGATATTTGATGGATCAGTAAAAAAAAGTTGAGAATATGTCCAACCTTTCTGTAATTATCTCATTCAACTATCTGAGGGTTGGTCTTGGAAAATAAAAAAATAAGAAGATAAATGGTAGATATTAGTGATTGAAAAAAATTGGATTGAATGGGACTGTGTATTTCCAAAATAAAGAAAGTCTGTACATGATGATGTACTTGTAATTGCAAAGACCTTTTGTTTACGTTTCATGTAATACTGATACTTTTATCATCAAATATGATCTACACTTATTCTTTATTTAACAAACAAATGATCTTATTTTATTGTTCAAACAGACAAGTTTATTTGCTGAAATAGTCTACATTGACAACATTACTGTTCAACTATAAACTTTATATCAATTGAAATGGCAAGATAATTAAATACAACTCTGTACAAATAATAAATATTTGAAGTTAGTAACTCAATGTAATATATCTAAATACATTTACAACATTTAAAGTTCATTTAGAACTAATATATTGCCACATTTTTATTACACATCACATAAATGAAAATGACATGTTTACAGTGCAGTAAGCAAAAATAAAAGTGATATTTAATCACTAATATGTTGACAGTTGAGTATGTGAGGACCCAGGTCAATATTGCAATGTCCCAAATATAATTTCAGATTTTCAGATTGAATTCCCAAAAGTACCCATTAATGAGATAGAAAACTTGAAGATTTTATCTCAAATTGAAGCATTTTATCCCAATAACATAATAATATGATTTTTGACTCCTTCCCTAAAGCATATTAATCATGTTTTGGTCATTGATAAATTGATCTCATCCTTTTTCCAAATATGGCATGGTACTCAGGCCTACATTATATGTAAAAGGCATTAGGGTGCCCAGTGCCACAAAATGGGAATTTGAAATTGTTATCATGGTAACAACCATGATGTCCCATAATGGATAAGGGGATGGTACCAGTACTGATTTAATGGTAGACCCATAGCACATATGTGACTTCCCAACTCTGTCAGGGATGTGTTCTAGACACATGCGAAGGGGGTAATTAACATTAAATCGCATGGCTTAAACATGAGGATGTGGCTTAAGTAAACGAACCCCATAATCGATGTTGTTTTGCAATAGAAAAGATATTAATTTGTGAATGTTCATCATTTAGGTTTTTGTGCAAAACAATTTTTTCCCGGATGCTAATATGTTATACAATATTTAATAATGTTAAATTGCAACACACAATTAATTTCCAATTGTTGTTTACACTTTTTATGTTGTCATGTAAAACTATGTTCTTAGTGAACTGGGAATGTTATTTGAAATGTTTATCAATGAAAGAATTCCCATGTAAAGATGTTCAACTGTTAAACTGATGTTCATAAAAGTAAACACACATCCTCTTATCAGAGTATCTTGCATATTTATGTTCAATAAATTGCATCTAAATTTTATTTGCTGTACATACATAAAATTGAATATTTCTTCATATGTGTGTCAAATTAAATGTGTGTCAATAATAAAATAAATTAACTATTTATATACACTACTTCGGCAACAGGAACTACTTCAAGGTGTTAAATAACTACAATATTGCCTATATCAATTTCAACAACTTTTATAGTAATAATTCAACGTGTAAAAATATAATTCCTATAATTTTAACCATTGAGTCAAGAGAAAATTAGTAATTACACTATAAATATTTAATATCAACTCTCATTATACAATACAATTACCAGTACAGCATATTTCAGAATTAACCTCTTGACTACCCAGAGTGACAAGATTTCTTATCGCCTAAGAAATGACCTTGAAACCTACAGTGACGGAATAATCTGTCACTAAATGTTTCACTAAAATCTTTTTGAACAATTTTCATCCAATTTATACAAAAAAGTTTTAAAAAGTGTAGAAATGATCTCTGTCGACTAATTTCACTAAATTGAGCATCACCTATTGTAAATGTATTTAGTAAAATGTCAAAAGTGAAAAATTCGCTTGTTTCAAACTGATTTTAGAGCCTGGGATACAAGAGGTTAATTGTACAACATATCATTTTTTATAATAAATATACACATGGTATCTAATTATTGAATTTTAAATCAGACTCTTACAAATAATTTTGCTACACAAATTTGGCAATTTACAAGGACTGAAGTAGAAGCCAAAATACCAGGTAAATTGGTACTGTACATATTACTTATAGAATGACATCTAATGAATTTTCATCCACTGTAACTACATGCTCACAAACCAGCCTACTTCTATGAAACAAAGTAAGGTCATTGACTTCAATGACTTGTATATTGTAAATACCAAGAAATTCATTACTTGCAAATACTTATTAAAACCAGTCGCCCACATATTTCTGTAAGTACATTGCAGGTAAATAACATCCAATTTCAGAGACAATGCCTGGCTCTCAGCATGGTATTCTTTACAGAAATTTTGTATAAAATATGAAAATTTTGTTTTGATGGTAATGATTACCTGATTACCCTGGGTCTCTCACGCAATGGGTTATTTTGCTGGAACTTAAATTATATTGGCCAAGGTAGAAATAGCCCCATGAAAGAAATATACCAGCATGAAAAACAATATGTCATAACTGAACAAAAAACTCCTACTTTAGTACTTGATTTAACTTCTGATCAATCAAATAGAAGATTTTTCATAAAATAGGGAGTTTTTTCAATTTTTATGCGTTGAAAGATATGTGTGCATTATTGTCTAATAAAAACATCTCAGGATTGTAAAAATCTAAGAAGAATGTTTTAAATGCCAAGTGTCTGAATTTTCACAATAATTACATGTAATGCTAATAATCATGATAAATCAGGAGAATAATGACAGAAAATATTACTAGCTACCAAGAATTTACCCTGGGGCCAAAGCATAGATATTAGACTCTGAATAAGAGAAATAAATGACCAATTGTGATGCTGATAAGATACAAATCACTCCAAAAGTAGCTGTGATGGCATTTAATGGGACTATTACAATAAAATGAATGCCAGGAACTTGAGAAAGCATAAAACTCTATTCCTCCAATTTTCATTAGGAAGGTGAATAAAGCTCTCTTTTAAAGAAAAAAATCAACAATTAGAAAGGGTAATGAGAATTCCAACATGGTATAAAAAGTGAACATAACATACCAGATCTAGAATTGATTCTTAGAAAATTGCTTCACATTTCTCGCCCACATGATCCAGAGCCTCTGGGCCTACTTATGGCATCTCTTTGATTAGAGCTAACCTAATTTTACAAATGCATTTTTTATAATTTGATAAAATATGTACATATTTAGCACTGTATAAACAATTTATCTCTAATATCTATATCATGACAAAACCGAGAATTTTTATAATTCCAAAAATATGTAGTGTAATATCTTACATTCAATATATTAAATACATTTGACATTATTTTACATGGAACTATAGCTTAGTGCTGAGGTAGTCTCCATTGATAAGGTTCAATGTACCCATGTCAGGATTAATAAATATAATGTTCAATACAGCTCTCCCTAGCAGATCATTTTCAATGCAGACCTATCTGTATCTACAGAAACAGTCCTCACATTTTATTGCAACTTTAACTGCATGTCACTCCCCATTTTACATTATGGTGACTATTTCTTACTTGATATAGTCACAGACATAGCCTTGTCAAAACTGTAGGACACCAGGGAGTGAGGTTCCAGCTCTTGTGAGAGAATGTGTAAGTTACCTCCTGGTCTCAACTTTATCTTCAACTTGGAGATATAAGCGGACTGGACATAAAGCTTTGGATGGGGGATGAAAATACACCACAAAATGGCCCAGACCCTCGCTGATCAGATATTAAAGATCCAAAGTCAAAACTAAAATGTGAAGTTGATTTTGGAAGTGGACACGACATTGGTGCAGAGAGTGTCTTCAACGCAGAATCAGGGGAACCCGGAAGCAAGAATGGAGATGAGCAGTGTCCATTAGTTTGTACGATTTCTGTATGGGTAATTGTTGCATCAAGCTTGAGAGTCGGGGAATGTACCGCCAACATGGGAATGTCTTGTAGATCAGCTTTAAATAACTCCTGCTCAAATTCCATTAATTGTCGCATAAAGTTTAGATTTGGATTTATAACATTTCGACAGGATCGCACATAATCAAAAGCCTCCTCCAATACGTGCTGCTTTGTTTGCATTATGTAAGCTATACAGACTGTTGCAGAGCGGCTTATTCCTGCCTGACAATGGACCAGTACTCTACCAGCATTACTCCGAACCTCTTCTGAAATTACATGAGAAAATGTGTTAATCAACAAACATTTGTTGGTACAAAAACAAATAACATTATATGCTAATGATCTCCAGCGAAGAATTTGAGACAAGCTGTTTAAAGCCATGTTCGTTTCGCCAGTCGTGATCCTAGTGTTACATAATCATAGCCTTTACTAGCCATGGAAACATATTTTTCCAGACACATTTCATTTTTGAAACAGCTAGTGATTGGTTCTTTCTTTACCTTCCAACAAAAAAAGAGATGAACATAATATGCTTGCAATATCTGCTTTCTCCCTTTTCCAATCATGAATAACTTGAATGACAAAACATAAACATTTCTTATTATTAAGACTTATTAACCCTTTTGGACTTCATACATAGTTTGTGTCCTAAACACATGTATTTGGAGAAATTGCAGAGCAAAAGTACAAATCCAGTAAATGGTGTATATTAATACTGTTTCCATATCACGATATAATACCTAATGCAATTGCCAATTAATTCATATAGACATGGATATCATGAAGATAACTAATGTAATAGAAAATATGACAATTTTCTCTATATTGACACATTCCATCACCTCACTCATTAAGTTACCATGTCATTTTGCAAATAAATCATGTCACCATCTGATTATTGTGGTTATAGGTCATAGTGATTTTAGGTCATAGTGATTTTAGGTCATTCTGATTATGGGCTGACATCATAATAGCATCCTAAGCCATTGTGATGACATACTGAACAAATGACAAATTGTTATTAATTCAGTCATAATGTCGAGTCATGATACCTCATGAACACAGGCCACACCATAACATAAGTAAAACCATGTTACAATTACAACGAATAAGTATATGTCACCATAACAAACACAAGAGATTCCTTCAGCAAGTCATGGTGAACCATAGCAAGTGTAACAATGGTGATTTGTCATACTTGTCAGTAAAGGAATTAATTCACAAATAAAATTGATGCTAAAGATGGATAACGAGCTTGTACTTCCAAACTATCAATCTGAGAACATTACCAGTTTCCGGTCATTTATTGTATCTTAGGGATCAATACTGGAGTTCTTAGGATGGCGTGTTGCATGAAATTGCCTCTGCAGTTCTTTAAATTATGGAGAAAAGCTTTTTACCCTGGTAACTCACAAACATTTCTTTAGTTTTTCATGTGTTATTCACGCCACAAACATAATAGAAAATCTGAGAGCACTTTTTAGTATGTTTGCTGTATTTTGATTATTACTTTCTAATGGTATATGATTGTTTGAGAATATATACCATAAAGCATAAATTGTAAGGGAAGCAATCTGTTCTACAGTTTGTTGTTTATTGGTTCAATTTCCTGTTTATATCACATGATAATTTGCAATAAAATTCTGGCAGAAGTATGAGATTGCCTTTCACAAGCCAATCACTGTAATCATTAAATGCAGCTAACGAAACATCTAGAATTTCTATTGTTTTGATAGAATTAATACTAATGCATTTTCTGTGATTATATATCTATTGGCATCTTCGAATTGAATATATTTTGATATGCTTCACTTTTATCATGAAGTGCAATCGATCAATATTTACGTAGGAGAGACAGCTCAAAGTCTAGTCATGTGGATATGAATTGTTACTTGGGTCAAACATGCGTTCACTTCCCCATGGATAAAATATTGGTCATCAATCTTTTAACTGTATTTTTATATTGTATTGCACTGCATTTCATCAGTATTAAAATTAACAACTGTCATACGAATCGATGATTCATAATAAATCTGATTACTTTTTATTTGTAAATCTGGTTCAATATTCTAAATGGCTGAATTCTGGGATTTGATTTATTACAATGGTTTTGTCATGGTGAAATAAAAGCGGAAAGAGCACCGGATGAAGCACTTCCTCAATAGATAGAAATCCAATCGTTTTCTGAAATCAAGCTATATCCTGTAAGAATGATAAACAACTAGAATTCATCCTGCGAATACTCGACTTTTACTACACCCTCGGGATTTCATGGAATAGAAATGAGAAAATTGATTTTACGGTGTTTGTTAGGGGGGTTGGCTTATATATGGGTAAGAGTAGAAGAGATGCACATTTTCTTCAGGATATAAGAATTTCTCTCAGAAAAAATATATGAAAACAGCAGTTCCCCGGAGGAAATCCCACTAAACAAACATATTTCATCAAATACCTGGTCATTTTGGACATTACCTAATAGAAATAACCAGGAAGCGGTATAGCGTTGTCCTCTTTTGGAAAAATCTAAATTATGTGATCTGACGTCATGTATTAAAAATTCTTTCTTGTGAATAGGTCTTATGACTATAAAATCTGGACCAAAACTGGTACCATAAGAAGTGTTATCAGAAAAACTCATATTTTCTGAAGTATAGGCCTTTTGAATTCAACATTCCTTCTTGACCAGAGCCCTGCATCAAGGCATTGAAATGAAGTGGCCATTTTGAATTCAGCGGTCATGATGGAAATTCCTTTTTTTGAGTAGATTTCTATGGCATCACCATATTGATCCAAATCTGGCACCAGGTATTTGTGTTATCAAAAACTGAGCAGCAATATTGAAAAGTCTCGCATGAGCAGACTTACCTCTACAGAATTTGAAGCAAATCTGTCAACTTGTATTTGAGTTATCACTCTTACACACAAATGAACAAATGGACGGATGGCTTCTCTATATCCCTACCAAATTTGTTTGGTGGGATAACGGTAAAGATTAAAAGGTGGATTGGATTGAGTGGATTGGATTCATGTAAAAGGTGGACTGGATCGGGAGTCTTCAAAATATAGAATTACTTAGAGACTTTTTTTCAAAAAAATGAGAACATCTAGTAGATGGAAACATAAACACATCAATTTGAATGACAGATTTTATCAACACAGATATATGTTTATTATGCTTTACAAAATAAAAAAAAGTCGATTTACAAAGGAAAGTAGTTGAATACTGCTATATCCATCAAGTAATTATGTATGTATTTGTTGTTGTTTTGTTCTGATTCCTTAAAGGGACCTAGTGATCACGAGATTAAAGAAATTCCATATTTTGAAGATTCCCGATCCAATCCACCTTTTACATGAATCCAATCCACTCGATCCAATCCACCTTTTAATCTTTACCGGGATAACAAGCAATAACCATGAAATAGCACTTAGCATCCATTATACAACATACCAGATGCAACATGCTCGTATTATTGTTAGTAGTAGCAATTAGCCAAGGGACATCTTAAAGTGTCATAACAAAATCATAAATAACCAAAAGAACGATTTATATTCCAGATGCTTGTAAGCATGGTCTCAACTGAATCTCACAAAACAACAACCTAAAGTGTCTCTAAAATGTCAATGGATCGATGCAAGATACAAAGCTAATTCAGCATCAATTCCCCTCTAAGGAAATATTCTATTAACCGGAAACAGGAAAGGAAATAATAGAAATTGATTCAAAACAAGAAAGTCTGAAAGCTCCAGGGAATATTTCCAATGATATCAAAGTAGGTGCATCCTTCTTTCAACTAAGAGTACTGTTTAACATACATTACAGTACATATATATCACAGGGGGATAATGGAGATGGATATTGACATGGTGACTCTTAAAATCATTTGAAAATTCATTCCCGACAAAGCGTTTCAGTCCCATATTCAAAATGACCACCTCAATATTTACCAAGAATGCCAAAAATAATCATAATAAACTTTCTTAATAAGACATCCCTAAAAATTTCAATTAAAATGGTTCATCAAATGGATGACACGACTTCCAGACAAGTTTTCAGGAAAATCTACCAAGCATTGCCATCATCAAATCAGTGATAGTTTCTCAATCGAAGTAACACCACTGAAAATATGAAATCAATTCCTAAATGGTTCACCTGGAAAAAGACAAGATCTATTGGGATGCCCATCCGCCCACCTGCCTGGCAAACTGGTTTCAATACACCATCAAAGGTGCAGTAAAACTTAGTAAAATCATGTTGAAATGTTCATTAACACATGTAGTACATGTACTTACATTCAATATCATTTTTATTTGACATACTAAATTATTTGTTTTGGTTTAAATACTCCCATAGTCTGTGTACATTGTATATTGTGTGTTTTCAAATTCATTGTGATTGTGAATTCCTATTTAACAAAGGCTCATCATTGTCTTGAGCAAGGTGTGTTCAACAAAAGGTGCAAAACACACTTGGTAAATTAAGTACAGCTTTCTAATTAGTGCGAAGTAATATCAGAGCTGACAAGACTTGATTTATGTCAAAATTATGTTTGAAAAAAATGTGTAGATCAGTCACTCATTGGCAATCAACCCAACCCACATGGTGTCAATATCAATGTTCAGTCGCTGATGAAGTGAATTCCCTTGCATCAATAGAGGCTTTCCAGATTCCTTTTTATTATGTAACTTGTTGTATACAAAAGCTACACCTGAATCTATGGTATGTATTGACAGTACAAGTGCAACAGTATTATTATATTGAAGCTATCATTCTTTAAATCATATACCTTCTCCCAAAATACTTCAAGTCATATGTAGGGGATAACAGACTCATTTAGATGCTCAGCCAGTTTTTTCTTCCTCCATTACTGAGATAGATTACAAAAATAATGATATTTGAGAAAACAGTGGGCGTCTTCAATTTCAATACGATTTTTGTAGATGACTTTCTGTTTAACATGTTTAATCATAATAGGGATCTTAGCACACAATGAATTGAATTTACAGGTGATAGAATGAACACATTTAAACAACAATAAAATGATATAAAATATTCAATATATCATTTTTTAAGACATGAATAACATCCGGTATTGCAGTAATCCATATATGTACATCAGGTGGATGGATTTCATTGCTCAGTCAGTTTTTTTTTTTATTCATTACTTTATTTATTTATATCAGTAAAATATTTTACGCAAGAACTCCTCGATCGCCTTTCAGCATTATAGAGGAGCAAATAAACACACATAATATAATATAATAGCAAATGTGTGCTGGTCAGGCACATGAGTTTCCTGGGTCTTGGATGATATCAGGTATTATCACCCAAAAGTCAGTATTATATGGGAGGAATAAGAAAAATGACCTCTTGAGTAAGAAGGTAAATGTTCTCCCGCATAAAAAGCCGTTGATATATATACCTTTAATGCCTTAAGTCTACAAGAGGTGTGGGTGACCGTGATATGCATGCAAAATGATCATGAATTATTGAAAATATCCCTGTCACTCCTTCACAAACTTAAAATAACAATCATAGATCTAAAGGTAGAAAACAAATCAATTAAATATTTTTGCGAATCCATTCTTAACCAATCAGAGCTTAGATGAATAAAAGGCGATATGAGATATCATCGATTAAGAACGAGGCTTCAACGATGAAATATTTTTGAGGGAATCACCAATTAGGAAACAGCTGGTCAATGCCTTCTACAGGCACATTGGCACCTTAGATAGTGTGATAGCAGAGAAATAAGATTATGTGGTTAGTTTATCTCTGCGATGTTTCCAATAACCAATATCCCAGTTCTTGCAGGAGATTTAACACAGGATGTAACAAATTGGATTAATAAAGACGTGCTATGTTTCAATCAATAGTTCAGTTGCTATCTTACTTTACCATGTTAGCAACCATTGTGTAATAAGACGAAATAAGAGATAAACTCATCAATTCTATATCTACTTCAAGGACAAAAAGTCTGCATTCTCCAAATTCAAATCAAGCAAATCTTAAAAGTGATTGAAAATATAAGATATTTAGAACATGACAATTTTGTTTGTATTCTAACATTCAGTCTGCCAAACATTTATTCACCTGTTTGACAGATCAATCATTTGTCCATATATTATAACACCATTCTTAGCTTTTTCAATTCAGGAAATTCAGTCTGATATTTATTTGTTTGTCCAGACACATAATCGGCGATAATAATAAGACTTAATTTAGATATATTGAGTGACATGACAAAAACTTTTTTTATTTAACATTTAATCAAATCGATATTCAGCAATTTCAAAAACTTACCTATAAATTTTATTGCTTCGGGAAACCAACCCTTAATGTTTGCATTTGCAGTGTCATCTACTGGGACCCGATGGTAGTCAAATGATTCAGGATATTTGGGGCTGATTGTGTTTGATACGTTAAGTATGGCAGTTATCCCAAAGTCTAAGAGTTGCTGTTTCTGTGCTGAATGGTAGGCACTGCCCAGGTATAACCATGGGAGAATCTCAGCTGGCTGACCCTGCAAATAAATAGCACCCTTTTAGTGAAATGTTTAAGGAAAACTTTGCCTTAATATATTTATTTAATAGTTGTTAGCCCTAGCCCATGCCAATAATGTATAACAGTGTATTCCTTCAGTCATTTGAAAAAAATTGTTGAACCAAGATGAGCCTGGGTATAGAGATTAAAAGAGTTTCAATGTCTGTAAAGCTTATACATTTACTGTACTGAGCCAGACAGCTTTTAAGTTAAAATTTATTTTTTTAGATATGAATTCATTGACTCGGTCTAAAAATTATCCATCAAAGAAACAATAATATTGGTAAAAGAAAATTACAATAAATATTCTATACAGTACAAACAAAAGCGGTCATTATCTATTTAGTGTATATACTTGTATATACATCTAACCAGTTTTTGGACAAGCAAACAGACAAATCCATAAATAAGTCTGACACTTCAGTGGCATAAAATGAAACCAAAACAAAACATTTGAAAACTATTAATCAGTGTACAACACACAATCTTCCTTGTTATTTTGACGCCAAGCAGGGAGTGGGCATTCCTGTGGTAAATCTATTTACAAGTTGTCGAGAAAATGAGTTTATCAAGATGAAATTATCAGTTTTGGTGATAAACACATTAGCAATAGTCATATATCATCAAAACATACACATCTGACATATGTAGTAAAATAACAACCTTTGTATAATCATTTATATTTCTTCTCCTTATTTGTACATGTAAATCTATTAATAGTTGTTTATCATAAAGAGGAAGTAAGAATGTAATTGATAATCACGGTGAACTTTTTTTAGAATTCAGTATCATATATTCGTTTTATAAAAAATATGACATTGTATTTAGTGTCTCAAATATCGCATTTTCTGGCTAAATAAAATTTTCCTGAAAACTATATACCCAAATTCCTAAAAGGTTCAAACAGAAAATACAATTTCACCACAATTACAGAAAGGTAAAAGTTAAATAACGCAATTTTAAGTGTTATTTAGGTAAATAAGAACCAGTTAATTTACCTGATTTGTGAGACTGGCATAGACTTTCTCCTGCCGTGTGAGGGGTGTCTTTGATGAGGGTAGGGAGAGGGAATGGGTCAGCCGGGGATCAGCCTCAGAGCTACGGATGCACATCTGCGGCCATTCGGCTGAAAAGGTCTTGTAACCATCTGAAATGTAATGCAACAATATATTATATACATTACTAGAGAAAAAATTAAGTTTTGTAAATTTGAATTGATAAATTGTTTTAGCTACCATATCATGAGAGAAATGTGTGCCCGCAAGAAATACACCTTTAAACATCAATATAAATGAGAAATATCAGAACTCTTGGAGTCTAAATATATGTTTTGAGGACAAAATATTGTAAAATTGTGAGATTATTTAAAAAATACATTCAACTCGTTTCTGTCATTTCTACCATTTTCTGTAAATATTCTCGATATTTGAAAAACAAACAATTTAGAACATAGTCATAAATGTATGCATTTTGAACTCTGTCTAAATAATGCATTAGCCATATACAGTAAATGGAGTTGCATGGTAAAAAACATCCTGTTAGTATTGATGAAAATTGTGCTATATAAATTGGAAATAAGTTATTAATAGGATCATAACAGGTTACATTTATTGAACAATACAAGTAAGGGGCACAACAGAGAATGCTCATTACGAGAAATGTGGTTGGAGGAAATGATTACGAAATGTATTCATATTTCATAATCCATGAATATGGCATTAACACACTAAGGACATTGACTCGATGTAATACGTTATACAAAGAAAGTACTGGAATTTTTTAATTAGTAAAAGGGTTTCCCATTATCAGATTTGGTGCAACACTGATTAATATTCGTAGTATTAGGCTTATTGGTCATGTGGCATTTATCATCTATTTACCAAGATAAGAAATATTACTAATTTGGGAATTCCATGTGTTTTCGTAATTTTATGACTACAACTTTTGTTTTAATCAACTGATTTCATCATGTACCAGCATATCATTTTTGATTTTTAAATGAGAAACTATTATATTTCTGCTCCATGGAAATCCTGCTTACTTTATACTGATCTTAAACCTAACTTGTTTAGTGCAAAAAAAGAGTGCTCTATAATATGAAAGGGAAAATGACTACTCTCATCTTCAAAGTTTCAGTTAAATGTATCTACTTGAACTTTTTCTTTTTGTTGAATTTTTTTATAAAGAACTGATCGATTTGGGAGTTATTGCAATGGCTCCTATGTTTCATGTCCTTTCCTACAATGTGGTTATGTATGGAATCCTTAAATTGTAATATCATAATTACTCATGTGTTCACTTACAGCACTTTGACATTCCATAAGAGTATTTAAAAAACAGTTCAATGACAAGCAATAATTCTGTTGTATTTCCAAGAATCAACGCAAAACAATACTTCCTCTACATATTGATTAACCAACACATCAATTGTTTTTTGCAACATATGTTTAAAATAAATATTCGATATAGAAACAAGCACATCTGTAATAGCCTAGATATTGAACTACCATCCATAATCGCCATATTTAGTGAACCTAGACTGTCGTAATTGCCATATTTAGCACCCACCCCCAAATAAGCACCCACCCAACTTCAAAAAGGAATGACCAAGTATTAACGAATACATCAGAAAAATTGAATTTCCAATATTAGATTATACAATTAAAACCAAATTTGATAATCAGTAACTAATTAAATTATCAAAAATTACATTTTCCCATAAAAAAGGTGGCCATTTTGAATTCAGCCATCTTAAAAATTCTCTCATTGAGAGATATTCTTTGCTCGTATATCCTAAAGCATTAGTCTATAAAATTTGAATCATATCCAACAACTGGTATTTGAAGTAAAATAGATGACATTTTTACAAAAATGGTGGTTATTTTGTATTAAGAGGCCATATTGAATTCCTTCTCAAACACAAGTCCCATGCCCACAAGAAATCAGCAATTAAAATTTGAACCAAATCCATCAATCAGTATTTGAGTTATATTGTTCCGACAGATATATGGAAAGATTGACGAATAGATGACCAGACAAATGGACGGACAGATTCTCTACATCCCTAAGAAACTGTTTGCTGGAATTATCATCATGCCATATCCTGACTACATGGACCATTTTTATTATATAGTATACATGTATAATAAATGTATCAAGATATGCTAATCAATTTACTTTTAAATTTATGCATTCAAGCCAAACTCAATAATTGGAAGCTCAATGCAAAGTTGGGAGCTAGATATCAATTGTAGTTCAAATAGTAGGAAAGGATGAGTTGAGACTAATCTTCTAAAACATCCCTCGGGCATTCTGCCGGAAATGGTCTCCAATCAATCATGCCATCAAAAGACAATATCTGGTAAATCTATTGATCGCAACTTCAAACAACGAATCTTACAAGAAAGAAGAGATCCCAATTTATAATCTAGATAAAACACATACACATCAAAAATATCTCTTTGTTGGTCAAGGAAAATACAAAAATACATTACACCTTTCTATGGAAACAGTAATTGAGAGAGAATACAAACTAATTGAATATAACAAAACAAAAACAAAAACTAGGACATCATAATGATAAACCATAACAACTAAAATTTCCTCTTAGCCATGTGAAAATAGAAAGATGTGAATCAGAATAAGAATGAAATAAGAATTGCTTTCTCAGAATAAAATAAGAATTGATTTTGTGTAGGCCTATTCACCCGAAGTAGCAGCCTGAAATACTCACAGTTCTCTGACTTGACATCCTGTCTCCAGCGAAATGCCACATTTTTCTAAGTTTGATTTTGCTTTCATAAACTACCTTAATCAACAATAATTACTATTACTAGGCATCAGATTACATATTTAAATATTGCCAAGGTGAAAAATGACGTGATAATGAAAAATGTCATTTTCTTAAGGGAGGCATGATATTATATTTAGACATCTAATTGTCTTTTTGATATATTTAGTCCCATATTCTTAATGACTCATTCAGCTATTAAGAAGTTATATGTAAATGTTTTGGCATTGGAAACAAAAATTGAACACAGCTTTATCAAATGTATTGCTATTCTGTAACAGGTTGACTAATATTGCTATAATATATGGGAAGTCTTGCATCAAGCCTTGACTATGCCCCTCTCATATACAAACCACTTGCACTCTGGGAGGGGAAATAGAATGTATGGTTGGTGCAAGACTACTTTTTAGATATTACATGCACTATTGCCTTGCACCACTATTCTATATAAAAATTCTCGCATGTGACACTGATGCCCAAAACATAAAAATGTAGCTACAGTGCTTCTTGGTGGGTGACATTAAAAAGGTTGAAAGCTGACAAAGAAATTATGTTGCCTTTTTCATTCAATTGAGATAATATAATACCCCCCACACCCCTTTTCATCGTTCAGACCTATTGATGAAGTTAATGCAGGATGTGATGCAGTATATAATGCAGGATGTGATGCACATCCTCATATAGTAATCAATGGTATTCTCCTCACATGTATGTATTGACATACTATATCATTACATGATTACATATCAACTCATGACTAAACACATGTACTAAGACCCTGTTAATCTAATATTATGCCTTAATCCTGTCTAATCCCTTTAACAAAACAACAATATTTATCTGTGTACATTTGTATAAACCGATACGGTAATTAATGTTAGTGAATAAAATATAACGAATGAAAAATCTATGTATAATGGGATATATTTTTATGCATATCAAATACAGTTTTCAGTTATTTATTGGTGTTGGTAGTTTTAATGTTTACATCTCTATAAATCTTTGTAATAATCAGGTCATAATCTGTGCCATTTATTCTAATTGTCTGATTAAATAACATCAGAATTAACCAATTTATCCATCATAAACAACAAAAATAAAACATATTTAGACATGAAAGTCAGAAAACTGTGCAGATTGTGAATTATCTGATTTGTATAAAGCAACTATTTGATCAGTTGATTATATCACAGGAAACAGAAGGGTTTTGCATTTTTTGTGTCACCTTTCAGAATTCTGCGTAAAATATGAAATAAAAACAGCTGCGATAGCCCCAAAAAGCAGACAAACTTTATCTTCTTTCTATTATACAAAACTAATGATATATGACACTCATGAATGAAAGTCACACATATTTAAGAGTTATGATAACAAGTATGGTTACATCTGATCGTATTGGTCATATTTCATTTAACTTTTGAAAATGGACATCAGAAGGCTAAAAAGTGACATAAATATATTCTTTATGAAAGGGAAATTGAAGAGAAAAAAATAACATAATTTCTTTCAGGGAATATAATTGAACAAATAATCTAAAAAATGTCTCTGCCTTATAATTGAAGTAACTAATGAGATATTTGACTTCCTATGGCTCAAGGCTGATGTAGTGTAAATCTCACAGTTTCCTTATCAATAATTAGTAGCGATTCTTCAGTATAATGTGGGCGTTAACCTAAGTTAGTAATCTTTTATCTATGCCTCTGGGTTTTACCAATACATGTTAATTACAAATCAATTCTCTTAATATCGACAATTGGGAAGTGGATGATGCTCAAGTTTCAATGTAATGAAACAATATTCAATATTGGACATTTGTCTAACACATACATCAAACAAACATCGACCAAAATCAAATAGCCATAGATTCATTTTGTTGTTCATCTTGGATCCTCATCAATAAGCTGCACTTCACTTGGACTATTTCAGATATTTCACAGTTCATTGCAGCTATGATCATAAAAAACATCTACTTTTCTCCATTACCCAAGAATTTGCTAGTAAGACATCATATTATCAAAATTGAACACTTTTTTTCAAATAATGAAATAATTATTTTGAACTGAATTGTAAATCTGTATTATTTTGGAGGGAAGTCACAATTACATTATAATCTTATTCATAAGATCTAACAAAAAATATTATAAAATCTACATCAATTTGAAATTCAAATAAACAGATCTTATACATTTATGAAACTGTATAAAAATCATCAAGTGAATATCCTCTCCTAGAAAGATGAAGACGTTCCCTGAATTAACCGAACTTTATTTGATGGGATGAGGATGGACAAATGACAATAGATGTGTACATAAATTCCATGGGTTCAGATAAGGTATTTTGATGATATGATTTATATATTTGACAGCTTCATTGTTTAGTAATTAATTGATCGATGTGCGGCAACATCCTGCTGGTTGTGTTTGTAAAACTATACTATCAGCTTAATGCACACAACACATCCACATATATCAAACTTCACATTTACGAATTAATCTAAAATACATATACAATGTAGGTTGAAACATAAACTTCAAACATCTATTAAACATGATTATGTTTTGTCATGCTGAAACAAGAGTTTGAAAACAAAATTATCGATTAATATAAAAAATGTACATGTACCTATATTTTCACGGAGAGTGAGATAATAATAATTACTTCTTGTTCTGTAACTAATTTCTTGGTTTAATGAAATATCTTCAAATCCCTCAAATATAGATTAGATAAGATAAAATATAAACGTTCACACCTATGTCTAATAATCAGGTATCTAGATCAAGTGATGTACTTATATATTAATGTCATGATGAAGTAGAAATATTCCTGTCAGCTCCGAAACGAAACAGGGATTATTTCTTAAATTAACTTGAATTGATCTGAAGTGAGGGCGTATAATTTTCATCAATATCCTATATGTGACGAATAATGTACTTATTAACTCTTCATAGTCTTTTAGCATTCATTCCATTAATTCAATTGTTCTATTCAGCTAAAACTATAAGTCTCTGACGATGTTACATTGAATTACTATAACCAAAACCAAAAATCTATTATTTTGAGTAGTGTTCTACAAGATTTTTCTCATGCATGTTCATGAATATATTTATAAACCATAATAGGTTATTTCTCATCATTTTTACATAAAATATGTTGTTGATTTAGCGGTGAATTATTCCAGAGAAGGATAAGCGGCAGGATCCTAGGAAACCTTTTGGGTTAATTAACTTAGTGAAAGTAATTAGATTTCCCAAGTTACCACTACTCAGGTAGACACTTCCTTGTTAGCCTAATAACCTGTCAACATTGTCAAACTACAGGAAATTTAGTCTTGATGTTGGATGTTACGTCACTACGGAAATTAGAAACAAAGGTTTCAGAAAATATACTCTTGCTAAAAAGTCTTAAAAATGGTTAACATTTATCAAATTTTAATGATTTTAAAACATCATGTACAATGTACAATCTATTTTGGGTGTGTTCTCATGATTTTTCTATCATGCCATTGTGACATTTATAAAGTCTTTGATAAATTGTTTTTACAACTCCTGTTCAATTTGACAGTAGGCTTCATTTTGTTCATCATCAAGAAACAGAAGCAATGTACTTTAGAGATTTAGTAATTTTGAGGTGTTAGTGAATTCTAATGTTTGTTAGTGAACTTTAAATGTAAATAAATTACAAGCTAAGGAACTTTAGTGATTTTAGAAAAAACAAAAATAAAAATAATCTACAAAAACACCAGAGACAGTCACAAGAGAAAAGCACCATTGAAAAAACAGCACCAGAGACTATTAGGTGACATGATAGCACCGTATATATGGACTTAACCAACCAACCATTTTGTGTTTCATTCATTATAATTATGTTTAATTATTATAAATACATAGAATATACATACCTAGCAACACGAACACTTCTTTTAGTTCAGTGGAATCTTGTAGACTTTTTAGGACGAGTGCAATGTTTGTTTTAGGGTCTAATTGTTCAATATTTTCCACATTATCATCATCAATTAGAACTACACTTTCAAAAAAGTCTCCTTTAAGTAATAGGTTTCTAGTGTTTTTGCATGTGATGACATTTGATAAAGATGTTGTACCACCCGATCTCCTCTTTAATATTGGTGGAATGTGGATATTATGGGAAAATTTTACATGTCCAATGTTGAAACAGAGAAATGAACGACAATCCAACACTAAAATTCTCTTGTTATCCTCTAAATCTGAGTCTCTGAGCATGCACCATAGTTCACACGACTTTACTCCTTTCACTTCCATGTTTATAATAATTAAGGTTCGTTCTGAGGTGAGGTGCAGTGTACTGATGACCAATACACGAGTGATTTGTGAATTATTCACCACTGGAATTTGAACCGTCCGCAGGAAAATGGCCACTTCCTGTTGAAAAATTCACTGCAATAAAACACAACAATACACTGTAAATAATCATACGAAAGTAAAAATAATGATATCAAGTTGTTCTATAGATAGTAATGTAAAAAATTTAATCGAATAAAAATGTAAACTTACCATTAAAACGTAGACCTAACGTGTCAAATATCTGGTTAATTTGACCTGCTTTTACTACGTTGTTATCATGTCGGGCGAGATTTATGAATGAAGGCGGTAATGAATGGAGCTGAATCACTATTACTTCACCTGCGCGCAAGAAATAAATCCATTTAGCAAAATATAATTTACAATTGAAAAACAATACGAATACAAGAACTATTGATAAATAAACGTTGCACATGTGACATTCCACCATATACTATAATTTTATAAAAAGACCATACATTTAGAATATTGTATAATGGAGTCTGCGGAATAATTTAATTTATAGTTCCTACGTGAACACCCGCCAGTTTTGAAATAAATGGTTAGGGACCTACAATTTGATGGGTGTTTTTGTGGCTAGCGCTCGATAGTAAAATGTATTTTTAAGGATAAGATGACAAGTTCCAACAAATATGAGCCCCTATGGGCTCCTATGGTCCAAAATTCAAAAATGCCCGTGAATCTACACTATTTGGGAAAAAATACGAACGATGTGTCTATCGTTCGTATTATTAATGCAATTTGCGAAATTCTGCCAGATTACGTTAAAAAGGGAGAAAAATTAAACAGCAAGTCTGTAAAGGTATTTAGTACTATTTACTAGTTTATTACCGTTAGATAAGTGGTTACGGTCATTCATTGACAGTATAAGAAAGCATGGTCTTCTATTAATTCCTGTCTAGAAAGCCATGGGCTACCTTGAGTTTACCTTCGATTTATCTGCGATCCCACACAGGCAAAAATACCACGGGTTTCATGATTTTTTTCTGAGTGTTCTTGTTGCCGTGGTTGGGTTTAACTTCCGTGCTATGCTTTCATTGGTTTCAAATTCTCACTATCAGTTATTAATAAAATGCGCATGTAATATATTCCATGCGCTGCAATAGGCAGGCTGTCCAACTGTCCCACAATTTGCGTACTTGTCACACATTTGCTGGAAAATTTGAAGTCACGCCAGTTTTTTTGCGTGACAGAATTTGTCACGCAAATACGCATTTGTCACGCAAATACGCATTTGTCACGCAAATACGCATTTGTCACGCAAATACGCATTTTATCTGATTATTGTCCAGCAAAAATATTCCTGTTAGTGTAGAAAAACTTCCAAAAATGATCGCCGATACAGCACAAAACCGAACGCCTAAAAAAACGAACACATTTCATTCTGACTTATCACGCGGATGCCGTATATGTCACGCATTTTCCTTGAAATATTTCACACCTACCCCTGAAATTTTGAGTTTGGTTATATGCAATAAAATTTGAACCAAGGTGCTAAAAATGTGGCCAATGTGTTCAGATTTGGACCAAGGTGTCCAAAATTTGAACAAAGGTGTTCAACATTTGTTAGTCACTCATGTTAGGTGTTCCCAAGTTGACAGGCATAGTTGACTGGCATAGGCCACCATTAAAATTTTTTGCATCAAGGGCCGAATAGGCAGGGACATTAAACCTAGGGCGGGCCACAAGATATGTCAGATAAGAAATAACGCTGCAAGGAGGATTGGCTCCCAGAATGCAACATGATGTGCCAGCTTTCAAAATGCCATTCTGCCATTTTGAAACCTGTCACAAGTAAATAAGGTTAACTGATGTTGCATTCTGGGAGTCAATCCTCCTTGGATCACAAACATGGCGATTCATGAAAACATTCGTTGGATTTGACAGGAATTTATCCATCATTTGCAGGAATGAAGCTTTGGATTCATTTATTATGCTACTTAGATCGAGTGAACGGGAATAAGTTTTTTACCGCTTTGGAGAGTTTGAGAGATGATACTGAGAATTTAGCCCATTGTGACAACTTTTGATGGTTGAGGTTTATTAATGTCTCCGACTGTAGGAATCATCATACTATGCCAATGCATGGGCTTTCAATTGAATGCCCATAGCCTATGTCAATAACAGCAATTAATAGGTGTGTTTTATTATAGATTTTTTTTACCCAGAGCACTCAACTCATGGTCCCTAGTGCATAGCAACAAGCCTGCACTACTGGTAAAGAGGGGCGATGTCAACGCGGTAGCCTGACAGTCGTCCCAGGGTATCCCAACATAAAGGGAAGTCCTTGGGGGGTACATGGGCCAACCAGGAAGTTTCCTTACAATTTTAAATGAGTTGTAAACCATAGATCTATTTTTAAATGTTAATGTTTTAAATTATATTCTATTCAAATTCTATCACTGTTAAATTATATATCTGCTTTAATATGGGCTTATTAGCCTTTTGCAGATTATTGACATGTCGGATAGACATAAGAAACAAAAATTCATACCTCAAATTTGCTATTCTGGCCGGATAATAAAGTAATATAGGAGTAAAGTGCCTGGACCAGAATCGATCAGATCGTGTGTCACATTCGAGACGCATGCACAATAGCTATGAAGAACTGTAGTGGTTTACCTTCATTTAAGGCTTCCGCTGTATTTCAGCCTTACGCTATATGTTTTATTCTGCCGTATATGATTTGTTTCACAATCACAAAATTCGAAATCAAACCAGCCACCATTTTTTCACTTCACAATTTGAATTGTGACTTTTGGTCTTATTACCTCACAATAAAATTCAAAACACACAAGAAGTGATCAATATATTAGTTCAGATCTTTTGGATTGCTACTTTGAATTTACAGCCAGTTATAATGTTAGACATTAACAACATTTTGATCCAGTTTTCATCTTTGTTGTCGAATTTCATTCATTTAAATGCTGCTCCATCTCTAACAGAATTTGACAATTATGAAGAGAATGCCGCGTTATATTTACGTCAAGTAAGAAGTACAAAATAAGTAGGTCAATGAGTTTTCTCTTTTTTATACATGGATGTATGTAGAGTAAAACCTGTCTAATCCAAACACCTCTGGGATTGGCCAAAAGTGATAGAATTAGCAAGTGTTCAAATTTCAAGGTTTTATCAGCATGTGAGTTAAGCATGGGCAATATCCTAGATGTGAGTAGAAATAATCTTGATTTACGTCATTAAAAATTCACATTTCAGTCAAACTGGTGTCATATTTGGAATCTACATATAAAATTACATGTAAAAATATGGTTTTGAAAAGAGTTATTCAACTTTGATAATTGAATTTTCTTTGAAAATGTGACTTCTAGGTCGGGGAGATTCCCCATAGACCCCATGTTGTAAAACTACAAAAAGTGAAATATCTTTTCTTGTGTTGGGCAGATAATATTTTCTTTTACTGGACATATTTTAATTTGTATAACTATCACATACATGATAAGGGTAATTTGAAAAGTGAACCACTAAAACTGATGCATATTCAAGTTAAAGGGAGTTTTGTAATACCCTGCCATGTTATTTCCCCGAATCAGCCACCTGGTGGCGAAACAGGTAACTACCTACTCGCATCTGAGTAATTGGGAGATGTTCAAATTAGAGACGTGTTTGGATTTACAGGTTTCACTCCTTCTAATCTATCTACAATACTCATGAATGTGGTTCTAGGATAGCTGGAGTACTAAAACGGTATAGATGGCAGCATCCTCGATAGAGAATCCCTACAGCAACCCAGTATGGAAACAAATCTCTCTTCAGAATGGAGAGATAAATAAGATGAACAAGGATGAACTGCGCAAACAGCTTACCAAACTCAAACTGGACTCAAGGTACATTGACAAGGAGGAACAAACCAAGAACATAATATATGAGATTTTGAAATAAAAGTCTGACCATGGGCTTTCAAGAGATCTCATTTGGCTATCCATGTATATTTTTACAGGTTATTTCATTGTTTCCTTCTAAGATTCTCATCATAAGCATGTTAAATGTAGCTTGGATGATATGATTGAATGTGTATAACACTTCAGTCTGAGACATTAGAATGTATGACATTAAGTGGTATGGTTATATTGTTCATCCCGGATTGTTCATACCCTTCATATATGCTGGCTGGCTCAATCAAGGCAGTTGTTTGTCTGTTGGAATTCACAATATTCTTGATAAACTATTTATGAAAATATTTTACTTTAATCAATACTTGTTTACAATTTTCTATAATTTTGGAAAACTGAAATAAAAGGTCAACCTGGTACATTTTCAGAAATCTTCAGACAAATAACATTTTGTCCATTTTGCAGATCCTTTTTACCATTTTGAATAAAAATAAAATCTTTCTCTACTCATTTCCAAGCCCTATTGTGATAGTTCATGAAATAACAATTCACGTAAAAGAGCATACTTTCTAATTGAGATGTTTTTCAGGGGTGTAAAAGAAGTGTTGAAGAAGCGTTTGAAGAATCACAATATGCGTTTAAAGCTCAGACAAGCTGAAGTGCAACCTTGTAGTGGCGTGGACACATTCTATGAATACTTGCTGGTGATAGACTTTGAGGCTACTTGTATGGAGGATAACCCAACTGATTACAAACATGAGATCATTGAGTTTCCCATTGTCTTGATTCATACTGAAACACTGGAAATAGTAAGTTTAGAGTTATTATGTTCAACACTGTAAATATATACAATATCATATATTTATATTTGCCTTTTGTGAGATGAATAACGAGAAGTAATAACTATGATTTGTACTTTTATAAAAATAAAATTATGTGTTGACTTAATTAATCATTAAATCATGACATGATTACATTACACATCATGGAATGATACATTTCTTGTTTTATTTTAAATGATCATAATTATTATAATTGATGAATCCATGTACAATAATAATCGTTCAGACATAAACAGCTTTTATGTGGGTAGAATAGAACTAGTCATATAAATCCAACCGTTGTATGCTGTTCTTCGATATTCCCTGTTCTTATTTGGATATTTATTTTTTATCATTTTCTTTGCATACACGGACGCTCGTATGCAAGAAAATAAGAAAAATAAATATCCAAATCAGAAAAATAACAACAAATAACATCATACGAGGGTCAGATTTATATGACTAAATAGAACCTACCTGTGAGTCACATAGAATTTTAATCAATCAATCAATTGGTGGTTACAAATTTTTACAGCTTTGTAACCAGATGGTGACATTTTGTCATGTAATATATTGTTTAACAAATAAGTTTTATAGATTATTAAATTATTATCCCACCGAACAAAGTTCGAGGGGGATATAGGAAATCCGTCCATCAGTTTGTCCGTCCGTCTGTTTGTCCAGGCGATAACTCAAATACCGGTTGACGGATTTGATTCAAATTTTATATGCTTATGCCTTATTGGGGTAGAACCTCTGCTCGAGAAGGAATTTTGAAAATTATGAAAAAAAGAAATGTAATCTTTGATAACTCAAATGCTTATTTACGGATATGGTTTACATTTTATATGTTGATGCCTAGGGACAAACAAGCTTGCTTAAGAAGGAATTTTCCAGATAGCCACTAATAATCAAAATATGTTTTGTTCGGTGGGATTTGCTACTCCGTGGAGTTTTCTAGTTTTTCCTAGTTTTCGCATTATATGCTCATCACAAGCAGACTGCAAGGAACATTAATCTATGTATTATTTTTATTTATCTCATGATTATTCTGTTATCTGTACAACAGCCAATGCTATATCTGATATTATGGAGATCTATGTGATTTTTTTAGAAAATTGTTTATCAGCCCCATATGCAGCTGATATCATTTATAAAGCAGCAATTACAGCTGATTTTGTTTATCAGCTGGATATCAGTATGATAAATGAAATTGATTTTTTGAACTTTTTTTAATTGTAATGCCTGGTCACAGCCAAATTTACCACCAAATGGCAGCAGTTGGAAAAAGGTATTATGGCTGGGTGCACAGTCTCTGTTGTCCTCTTCATTACAGCCATGAACTTGATTTTGAAAGCTGGGGAGGCACAGTGCAGAGGTCCAAAAGCCAGGGATGGGACACGACATCGAACCTGCCTTGCCTTCATGGATGACATCACAGCCATGACTCAATCTATTCCCGGAACCCGTTGGGTACTAGGTGGCTTGGAGCAGATGGCCAATTGGGCTCGGATGGAGTTCAAACCCAAGAAGTCAAGAAGCCTGGTCATTTACAAGGGCAAGACACAACCAAGTACTTTCTTTAAGATCCAGGGCTCACGCATCCCAACCATACAGGAACAGAGGATAAAGTGCCTAGGGAAGTACTTTGACAAGTCACTCAAGGACGTCAATTCCATCACAGACGTTGTGAACCAACTTAAGGAGTGGCTGAAGGTCATAGACCAGAGCAAGCTACAGGGACGTTTTAAGGCTTGGTGTTTTGAGTTTGGCATCATCCCGAGACTCCAATGGCCCTTTCTTCTGTATGATTTTCCACTCACCACAGTGAAAGCTATGGAGAAGTTGTGCAGCAAACATCTCAGACGATGGCTCGGAGTCCCTCCAAGCTTCAGTGCAGTTAATCTGTATTCAACATCTTCCAAACTGTCTCTGCCACTGTCTTCTGTCGTGGAAGAGTTTAAAGTTGCTAAGGTCAGAGCAGTCACCACACTCCGCTCTGCACACGACAGCAATGTCCATGGCACAGGAGAAACCATCACAGCGGGCAGAAAGTGGAAACCACAGGTAGCTGTATCTGAAGCAGAAGAGCGCATTCAACTTGAGCAAATCGTGGGAGTGACATGCCAGGGTCGGCTCGGACTTGGAAACTATGGTCCACAGCAGTGGGAGCAGCCTACCCCCAAAGACAAGAGAGACAGGATAGTACATCAGGTGCGGAGGAAGGAGGAAGAGGAGCGCTTGGTTAGAGCCAGCGGACTCACCAAGCAGGGTGATTGGACCAGGTGGGACTCCATACTGGACCGATCACTAGGCTGGAGAGATCTTTGGTCTGTTGACCAGGGGCGTCTCAGCTTCCTTCTCAGAGCATTCACTGATCTTTTGCCATCTCCAACCAACTTGAGAACTTGGGGAAAAGAGGAAACAGCAAACTGCCCACAATGCCTTGCAGCACACTGTTCTCTCTCACATATCCTGAGTGGGTGCACGAAAGCACTAGCAGAAGGTCGTTACCGGTGGCGCCACGACAAAGTGCTTGAGGAAATAGCCAAATGGGTTGATAGGGAAAGGCTTGAAGCCAATCAGCAGAAGGTCTCAACCAAGCCTAGATTCATAGAATTCAGAAAGGAAGGCCAGGCTAAGTCATCCAAGCAGAAGACGATCACCGAACCCCCTTCCACCCTATCTAAAGCATCTGACTGGGATCTCCAAGTTGACATCAGGAGAAAGCTAGTGTTCCCCCAAGATATCGTAGTGACCACACAGAGACCAGATATGGTGCTTCTATCTAGAAACAGCAAAACCATCCTTGTGATAGAACTTACTGTACCTAGTGAGGAGAGAATAGAGGTATCTCACCAACTGAAGATTGCCCGTTACCAAGACCTAGTAGACGAAGCAAAATCCAGAGGGTGGAATTGCAGACATCATGCAGTTGAAGTAGGTTGCAGAGGCTTTCCAGCTGCCTCCTTACGCCACATGTTGAAGGACCTGGGAATACGGTCCAGCCATCTTAGGAAAGCCGTTAAGGATATTGGTGCCACAGCAGAGTCATGCTCACGTTGGCTCTGGCTGCGGAGGAAAGAGAAGTGGACTCCAACTACAACATAGCAGCAAACCCAGACCCATCCTAGAACAAAGTATATCCCTCTATGACTAGGTTCAATTAACCACCGCATGTGGAGTCTGATCAACTCTGCAGGGGCAACCTCCATTCCCAATCAGGTATACTTCGGAGCGCCCCGAAACCTGAGGAGGTAGAAGTACTGATGATGCGACTAGTCCACTTTATTGACCTTCCAACCCCCACCATCTTCAATGAATTGTAGCATAGCATCATGTCATCGATGTTTAATAAAACCAACTAATGAAATTGATTTTTTGAACTTTTTTTAATTGTAATGACGGGATAAACCCAATATCAGATGATTTCTTGTGATATGATTTTATTGTCTCGAAGGTATCAAATATCAACTCTCATTTGCTTTCGTCACTTGTGTTGATATTTCATCAATAAAAATCATACCACTCAAAGTTGTCTGACATTCTGTATGTATTATTTTGACATTCAGAAATCAGGTTTTATTGTACCACTGTGCTTATCTTCAAGTTTCATTGTTTGATCTCCAGATAGATGAGTACCACAGCTATGTGAGACCAGAGGTTCATCCACAGCTGACCAGATTCTGCTCTCAACTCACTGGCATATCGCAGGTAACATTTGGAACTACATAATTCATAACCTCTGGATTGACCAGAGCAGTATTGCCAATTTACTGCAATTATATAATGTTCAATTTGGCAAATGTTGTAAAGATGGTCTGGGCCATTACACACATTGTAAAACAGGATTTGTGCGAATTGAATAAAAAAAGTAGAAAATAGAGTCATTTTAGTAAAAAGATCTGTGACTAATTTCAATAGCAATCAGATAGAGTAGAAGATGACCATTTTGAATTTCAATGTGATATTTATCACTGTGTGTTTTGTGAAAACATTTAATGTTGTCTCTTATATTGATGCCCATTATTACCAGAGTGTTTCCATATTCCATATATATTATAGATATACGATAGGGCAATAATGTAACATCATAGGTTCAGGGTGGTCCAAAAAATGGGACACTCGTATTTCAAAAATAAACATTGATTTTATTGACGAAAACATGTCATATTATACACCAGTGGATGGAGAATCTTTAATTTAGTATATCATAAGAATACAAAGATCACCGGATGCTAACTTCTGCGACTACCATGTATGAGGAGAACTAACAGAGTTGGTGTACCTTGAAGCTTAAGGATAGAATTGTTGAGAAGAGGAATTTTATTTCAAAAGCATATAAATGATGGTATCAACCAGTTTATGCTGAGATTGAGGGCTATAATTCATCATGGGATTTTTGCTAGTTTTTGAAAACCTGTTTTGAAAAGAAAATGACATCATTTGTATTATGGACGCTGGTTGATAGGCATTATAATAGATCTTTACAGATGATGATATACCATATTAATGATAATTAAATTCCCTATCCACTGGTTAATATGACATGTTTTCATAAAGAAAATCAATGAATGATCAGTTTTGATAATTGAATGACCAAAATCTAATCATGAGCCAACAATTTGTTTTCAGGCCACAGTAAGTAGGGCACCTATATTCAAGGATGTTCTAGAGAATGTCAACACTTGGATGGAAAAACATAGACTGAACAAGAAGGAAACAAAATTTGCAATCATTACCGATGGGTGAGAAAAACTTGCTTTGAACATAAGTTTTCTACATGACATAACATTCAATCACCTTTATAACTAAAGATGTTTTTTTCTTATCCTTATATCAAAATATATGCATAATTTCTTTGATTTGAATAAAATAGTTAAGTATACATTTTTAAACAAATAATTGGATCTCAAAAAGCCCATGATTTCGAGGACTAAAATGTTTGACTTTTAATTTGAATTTTAACGAATGAAAAGTCCAGTGAAACTTAACATCCATTATTAGTATATATTGCAACCCGTTGCCTTGTGTATTTTTGCTGTTTACTGATGATCTCATCACAAAGAATGTAATGATGATTTTACTTCTGTTTTCAGACCATGGGATATGAGTCGATTTATGTATACCCAGTGTCAACTTTCACATCTTCCTATTCCTAAGTGGGCCCGCAAGTGGATCAATTTGCGTAAATGCTATAGCAATTACTATTGCGTCCAACGAATAAAACTTGCATCCATGTTGGAAAATCTTGGTATGACGTTTGAAGGCAAACCACACAGTGGAATTGATGATGCAAGAAATATCGCCAAAATTGCTCTCAGGATGTTAAATGATGGCTGTGAATTACGTGTCAATGAAATGCTGTTTTCCAGAAAACTTCAGAAAAATTCTGAACTTGTTCATCAAAATAATGAAACAGTTAAAGACAGAGAGAGTGACTGGGAAGTGCTGAATGTAACAAAGAAGGATGCAGAAATGTCTTCAGAATCTGACAATGAGACTGAACCAAATTTCACACCTGTTGATTCAGATACTAACCAATTCAGTATTATATGCAATAACATTGGTGCAATGAAGATCAGCAATAAGAACTCCAAGAAAGAAACAATAATTAAGCAACACACTAAAGCTAAGAAAGAGGTTAGAAGTAATACTATAGAAGACGAGGGTATTGATGATTTGCTGGCTTATTACAGGCTACAGTCAAGTTAATGTCAAATTATTAATAATTGTTAGACATTTCAGTAATTATATTGTTACACCTACTTAGACGAAGGGCAATTACTAGGTACTCTCAAAATGAAATGATCTTGATTTACGTCATTAGATATTCAAAATTCATTACTGTCAAAGTGATGTCATATTTGAAATCTACATGTAAAAGTACATCTCGAAATATAGTTTCAAAAATCATTTATCAACTTTGAAAATTTATCTTTTTTTGAAAATTCTAGTTTGGGGAGATTTCCCGTAGAAACAAAAAAAGTGAAATATATTTTCTTCTTTTGGACAGATAATATTTTCTTTTACTGGACATATTTTAATTTGCATAACTATTAGATACAAAAAGGTGATATGAAAATTGAACCACTAAAACTGTCGAATATAAGTTAAAGGGAACTCCCCACGCTATCTGACCTAAATGAGCCACCTGGTTGTGAAAACTTTAACTAACCTACTCACATCTGAGTTATTTGGCTACCATTTTAATTTGACAGATTGGCAGATTGAAAATATCTGCCAAATTAAAAATCCGCCAATTTTCAGATGTATTTTGGAAAATGCTTGGGGAAATTTTAGTTTGTGCAGTGCACTTCTGAAATTAAATTTCCAGGCCTCATTTTCCCCAAATCTTGTCAAATATCAATTTTACATTATTTTGAGAGAACTCCTGACAATATCTTGGTAAATACATGTTACATAAGAACTCCCCCACCTTCTGATGGTCAAGAAATGTATAATAAGCTGATGTATTAGTATCTATAAATTGCTTAACTGCTGAGTCTTGTATAATAAATGAAATATGCTTATTAGCGTAAAATTGAACATTTGATTTGTATATTAAATAGATTATGTGTTCCAAAACATTATAATGTGTTATATCTTGAAGTTATAACTTAAAGAGACACTATCTTAATATTACTGAGGTTTCTCTAAGTCCCCATGTAAGGTTTGAAAATATGTTTTTATCATTCTATTATTATTTGTCATGACTTTAAGGGTTATTTTAGAGATTTTTGAAAGACATTTTTTTGAAAAAGTTGTTGGCTTTTCATTTCTAAAATATTCGAATTTCCCGCCATTTTACAAATAAGTCAACATTTTTACATCAAATATACCACTATACAGTGCAAAAACATGATAGTGATATTAGAAATGACTAATGCCATGGTCACATTTTGTTCTGATTTTCAGTGTCTGGCTGATGAGGGTATTTTGTTCAAACTTGCATTCAATTATTGAACAAAATACTCATTGGCTAGGCGCCAGTGTTGAAGATCGGAGCAAATATTACCTCGACATAAGTAAAGTTCTGATTTCTGGAGTTTTGTGATTCAGAGTGAATGGCATATTTATTATTTTAGAGTGCTGCCATCTTTTGTTTTAATAGCTTTACATTTTATTCATCGCTGAAATAGTAGCAATAAGAAGTAAGTAATAGTAAACCCAACAATAACTGCATTTTATTATATTGTACTTGAGAAATACTGTTCATTGGTACTTTTCAAAAAATTATATTTAGTACTGCCTCTTCTACAGCCATGCATGACTGTGTACCTCTCCAGCAATGTGTGAATTCTGTGTGCCTCTACAGCATTGGTGACTTCTATGTGCTTCTATCCGCATTGTGAGACTTATGTGTGCATCTCCAGTGATGTGTGAATTCTGTGTGCCTCTACAGCAACAAATGACTTCTGTTTGCTTCTACAGTAATGTGTGACCTCTGTGTGCCGGTCCAGCATTGTGTTACTTATGTGTGCCTCTCCAGCAATATGTGACTTATGTGTGGCTCTCCAGCAATGTGTGACTTATGTGTGCCGCCCCAGCAATGTGTGACTTTTGTGTGCCACCCCAGCATTGTGTGACTTATGTGTGCCTCTCCAGCAATGTTTGATTTCTGTTTGCTTCTACAGAAATGTTTGACTTCTGTGTGCCACTACAGCAGTGTGCATTAATTTTCCAAACAAGATGATTCAATTGGGTGATTTCAAAATCAAACATTGGAAAATTCCTAATCCTTCTTTGTAGCTGTTTGAACAAGAGATTGTATATACAATTGAAGCCTACATGTACTAAGACCAACCACTAAGCGTTATAATACTTCACTCATGCAGTATGATGAAGGTAGGCATGATACTTCCGAAACAGTGAATGAATGAAATAATCTGAGATTATTGTAAAACTCTAAGCATTTGAAGCAAATACCTGTTCACATATAGAAGCTTCAACATGCATCTAGAAAAGAGCTGAGAAGTGTAACTTTCTGATAAACTTTAATATAAGGAGGAGGCCAATATGACTTCCAGCACAGTCTCAAGGTTGAGGACCTTCCTTGTCCTGTTTATTATGGTGGCAGCCTCATTTCTGATCTTACACAGAAATGCATGTAAAGGCTATGCAGAGGGGAAAATCATCCTTATGAAAATTGAAACAGATATAACGGATTTAGGGAATTTAATAGTGAAGGACATACAGGCAGGAAAGACTTTGAAGAATAATGAATTGAGCAATCAGAAAACTATAGAAGAACTGAAAAATTCAATCAAAGATATATCAAATTTGATTGAAAGTAATATTAAACATGAGGCAATTAAGGAACAGGAATCTATTGGATCAAAAAGGAGTTCAATAATTGAAAGAAAGCTGAATCGTCGAGATGAGAGTTGTGATGTTATGTTGAACATCATGACTACCTTCCCAGTATTAACATCAACAAAGGACAAAGCTCAGCATGGATTTGTTAATTACTCAGCTGAAATTATTCAAAGTCGACAATTAGAATATGTTCGAGCTTTGGAGATGAATATAATGCACCCATGTGTTGAAAAGGTGCATCTACTAGTCGAAAACCTAGGAGTGAAATCTTACTTGATGTCATTAAACTTAACTGCTGTTTCTCAGGCAGACATAGAGGCCATGGTACATTTTCATAAATTACTATATTTTCCAACTTACAAGGCTTATGCGATTTATGCCAATGAAAATCTAATGTTTAAAACGGTTGCAATTATGAATGGTGATATTTCCCTAGGAGATGGGTTTAACCTAATCAAGAACAGCTATCTCATTGGAGACAGAGTAGCTTATTCTCTCACCAGACATTCTTCATTATTACCCAACTGCGGAAATAACGCAAACTTCTGCCTTCAGACTTACATGGGGTATCACGATGCACATATTCTATACATGGACACAGCATTTGATAATTGGAGCTTAGATTTTTTAGCCTATCCCATCAATAGACTTGGAGTTGAAAACTTATTCATGTATGTTCTCTCCCAGAAGCTTAACAAAATTGTTCTGAATCCATGTAGAATTTTGAAGAATCATCACAATCACTGTTCTGGATTGCGGTCTAATTTTACTACAAGTGAGAAGATTCGTGTCAACATCGGCCAAAATAAGAAATTCTCATGGAGATCACCATTTACATATAGATTACATTAAATAAATCAGGCCAAGATCATCTCAAGACTGTCATTTCATTATGTAAAGTAACAAGACTGGAGCACTCTAGTCCTAGAGTGCATGTACATTTGGGACACCTTGTAGAATGATAAATTGCCACAGCAAAACACCTAATATTCACTCTTCATAGAAATTACTTTTCACTTGATAAGAGAACCATTTTGACATGATTTCAGTCAGAATATGCAACTTTTAATTTGCTAAAAGCAGTGATGGTATTATGGAGATTACCAGTGTCACATAAGTTTGCCCAAGATCTGAATGGAAGCAGTTACAGTAGCCATATACCTGTATACCATACCCTACATTGCAAAAAGGAAAGAAGGATGTTTGTTTGTATATTCATACATAAATATATTTCACTTCCAATTTCAACAAAATAAATAATAAACAAAAAATCATACAGGGAAACATTTTGAGTATAAATAAAATCTAAAAAAAATTCTTATCCATAGTAAAGTATTTCAGATTAAAATTAGATTCATGTAACATTTATGTTTTTGTGTTCAATTACATGACAAGAATGTAACCCTTCTGTAACAATATCACTACTTGTATGAAAGACAATCTACCTGACTTTACTCTGAATGATTTATAGTTTTCAACTTTTCATGTAATGTAAGATAAAATGGAATATACATATATTTATCAATAAAATGAAGAGCTTTATTTATATCATTTCAGATAATGATGTAAATAACTACATAATTATGGTAATAATCTTCAGTTTCTGGTCATTAGATTTCAAAATTTTACAGCAGTCAGGTCAATTCTCATTTCTTTGAAATTTCCTTGAAAATGTGTTAAGAAACATAACTAAATTTTCCATAATATAATTTCAGATATTTTGAGAAATAAAATTTTCCAGAAGTTCAAAATTGTGACCAGGTCAATATTTCAATGTTACTTTGAAAATAAACTACAGCTGACTGAACCTCTCTCTCTGCCTAAAATGTTTTTTTTTTACTTTTTCCTACCCAAAAGTGAACATATATTGACCTTGTTCCTTTAATATTGCACTGTTTTGATGAATAGATATTTACAGCTTTTCTCAAGTTACATGCAGTGATGTCTTCTTGGGTTTCTATCTGTCAATTATAACATACATGGTGGGTATGTGGATGACTGTCTTCACAGTAATACTACAAGTACTGTATGTGAAGTTCTATCACAATCATGTTTCACTTGTATTTCCACAGAACATTCTATACAGAGATATTTTCCTCATCATGTTACTTCCATATACATACAAGTATATGTATTTAATTTTGATTTCCCGTTAATTACTTTGTATACAATGTATAGTTTAAAAAGTATATCAAAATGTATATCTCTATATTCTGCTATTGGACGGAGTTATATTCAATATATACAAAAATGTATACCTCAAAATTATCACTTGAATTAGACATCTTTGTCACACACAGACTAAAAATTTATCAAGGTTCAAACCCGAATGAATGTTTAGCTTTATGTTCTCATGCTATTCTGAAATATCCACATTAATGCATATTTTCAAGAAGAGCATTTAACAAGACGTCAGCAAAGTTTCAAAATGCAATAATAGACTGATCCAGTAAATTATGCCAATTTGATATGTTATGCCATTGATAGTTTTACTGCAAAAATATGATGAACTTATTGCTAATTTGAATCACTTAGGTATACATTGCCATCTCCAACCTTTGACATTCTCACTTAAGTCAATGTACACTGGCTTCTTTGGTGTAGCAAAACATGGCACGTTTTATCATAAAGGTCTCTTAATCATATTCTGTCACACCAATGGAAGCTAAACAATCCCAGCATCCTGGTCAGTGAAACCTACTCTATCCCAAAACCCTCTGCATTCTGGATGGCAATGATAAGTTTCTGTTTCAATGTCTTCCTGCTCTTGTAAGCTGGTAGAACTAGTTGATTAAAGCATGTGTGGGCCATAGGCAGCCTGGAAGGAAAACAATTCATATCATTGTTGAGTCAAGAAATTAAGTTCATCAAAATACAAAATTGTATGTTTGGAGGTTGATGTAAGTAAAAAAAAAAAATACTAGTTATATTTTCTAATAGATCAGTTTCTATATAAATAGAAAAATAGATGGCAGCATGGGTGTTGGTAGGGCAAGAATACATGGAAAAATAGCGTGAGTCACTTAATTTCTTGATCTAACAAGTGATTCCATTTGGATCAACACAACATAAATCACCATTGGAATGTAATTATAGGAACTAATTGACATTCAGATTGTGATCCTTATAAGAGTAAATGAACTTTTAAAGGTTTTTTAATATTGTGTCAATGGAGATTTAAACCTTTTTCAGAAAATATGAATAAAGGTAAATGACTATTATATTCAAGTCAAAGTTGTTCTTCACTGGTTATAGATACAGATCTAAAATCTCACTAAAAACAAGACTTCAACGAGATTTCAAAGCAATAGGAACACCTCCATTGCATCAATTTTTGTATTCTTAAAACAAGGTAAATTTTGTACATACATGTCAGTATTCTCTACACGTGTTATTTTGAACTGCATCTCGCTCATGCCACCTATAGGAATCCTGTCACTCCCTGTTGTGAACAGCAGTAATCTTTTTTGTAAATCTTTTGACATACCCATGACAACTTCCCAGAAGTTCCTAAAATACAAACATATTACAGTTGAACATAAAGTCCTTTAAAGCAGCCCCTTAAATTAGTAAACTATCAACTGAAGTAGTTTCTATATACGTCTTGTAAAAAGTTGCTTAATAAATTGAAAACATAATCTAAATCTAAATTGATTGATGCATATACAAATATTTGTGATGTCATACAGCAAAAAATAAGCCTTCATAAATTGGATACATACTTAATGGTTGGGTCTTTAGCACTGTAACAGTCATGGACTGTAACTTTCTTCAGCTGTGACATATCAAGGTTTGGGCTTCCACACACCAGCATTTCTACTTCTTCAGGCCTCAGCATCTACAAAACATACAATATCAAAAGTCAAAACATACAATACAAATAAATTCAAAATACATAAATCCTCGAAGTTACTGTTAAAGTTTTAGAATTTTAACCTGATCCTATACCATGTATACTCTTACTTCACATATTCATACTACATATATATGCAAACATCTTTTTGTGAAACTTTATCTTGGTTGAGGAAGAACATCATCAAACATCAACAGGGCATCAACATGCAAAATATCACCACTTGCAATTTGTTACAGGCGCCAACCACCTACTGAATGCTGAACACCTATCACAAAACACCATTTACGGAAAAGTTTGACACTATAATGACAATAAAAATAACAATTTGAATATAAGTTGGATTTTTTTTATCTACGTATTATTGTCTGACACAATAATAGCACATGTATCTTTTTACTTACAATGAGTGCATTTGATGCACATACACTGTGGAAGCCATGGTAGAATGCCTGAAACTGACTGTACATCACCTTGTTCAAGATCCAATCAACATATAATTGCACATACTCTGGAAACAAAAAACATGATTCGATCTAAATACATTTTATGAAAAGAGGAAAGCAATCCATTATCTGAGAATTAAGGTCATTCATATTTCATGATCACAATACAATCCTATCGTATGACAACTCCAATAGACTATTCTAGTAAATCACAATATACAGGGTGATCCAGAAGTAACGTCAAAGACATTGTAATTTCAAAAGTATTCATCAGATCTTCATGAAATTTAGTATACATGTACCCACAACATTTCTGAGTTACCATCTCAAAGATTGGAATTCAATCATTTCATTGGTTGAAATTATGGTTGCTATAGTAACCCGATATCGCGTAACCCGGGGCAAATTACTTAACGTGTAATGCGTAATCTCAAAATATCAACAAGATCTGAAATTGTTATATCCTCAACATTTTATTTCACAACAATATAAATCATACTATTGCACAGTTACTAATAATAGTTCATTCTACATAATTGCCACCATTTGCAACACATTTCTCATGTCTGGATACCCATTCCTTGAACACAGAATTAAATCCATTAGAACTCATTCCTTGTAGGGCTAGTACTACGGCATTTTTCAATTCCTCACAGGATTGAAAATTATTTCCACTAAGGTTTCTTTTTAGTTCCCCATACAAATAAAAGTCACTGGGGGCAAGATCAGGTGAATAAGGGGCATGTTCAAGTTGTTGAAATCCAAGTGTTTGGACTGTGTTGCTGGTCAGGATTGCAGTGTGCGTAGGGGCATTGTCCTAATGCAAGATAAACTGCTGCAGATGTCCGGGACGCTTTTTCCTCAGGGAACGTTGAAGATCACGCTTCAGAACCTGAAAAACAAATGTTTAATGGTTGTTAAACCAGTTGTTTCATTGATTGGATTTGGATTTGAATCATGGCCATGGAGTTATAATTATATTGACAGTGAACAACATTTAAATACTTTAATTTAAAAATAAAATTCACAGTATGATGTATTATTAGAACAAATGATATCTTACCTTTGCAATGTAAACGGCATTAATTCTCTGGCCAATGGGAACAAAATGGGTTAACACCATTCCTCTAATGTCAAAGAATGTCACAACCATTTGTTTCTTTTGTGGAATTCCTGGTACTATTTTAGGCTTGGTTGGTGTTGGGGAGTTGAACTTTGTTGCGTGGTCTCTGGGATGTAGAATGATAGCACTGATTCGTCACTCGTAATGATCTTGTTAAGAAAGTCATCTCCATCTCTCCGATATTTTGCAAGAAAGTCCCTTGAAGCCTTAACACGCCGGTCTTTCTGCTCCTGTGTCAAGTCATGCGGCACCCATTTAGCAGACACCTTCTTTAACAGACAGTTCTTTGTCAGTATCCGTTGCACAGTCCCATAGCTCAGATCGTGTTTTTCAGCCAATTCTCTGATAGAAATTTGCCTATTGTCCATAACATCAGCTTCAATTGCTTTGATGGTTTGATCATCGAATGACGACACTGGCCTGCCTCCTCGCTGCTTGTCTACCACTTCATCATATCCACTGGAATACTTGTTAAACCACCTGTAAATGTTTCTCTCAGCAATGGCAGCTTTACCATATGCCTTCTTTATCTGTCTTATAGTCTCTTTTACACCTTTCCCCAACTTTACACAGAACTTAATGTTTGTTCTTTGCTCTATTTTACTCTGACTTGGCGCCATCTTGAATTGGGTGGGTTAGTGTCCTTGGTCATGTTAGTATTTGTCATGGATGATGGAAGCAATTCAAAGAAATTGAAAGCTTTTTATGAATGCCTATTGTGACATCACAACTATTACATATTTGTTACCATGGCAACAAATATAAAAATCATAGAAAACAAACAATGAACATTTTCAAATGTTACTGACTTTTTAAATTAGAGAAATTCACAAAAACGTTATGGTTTCTCTTCAATTTGCCCCGGGTTACGCGATATCGGGTTACTATAGCAACCATAATTTCAACCAATGAAATGATTGAATTCCAATCTTTGAGATGGTAACTCAGAAATGTTGTGGGTACATGTATACCAAATTTCATGAAGATCTGATGAATACTTTTGAAATTACAACATCTTTGACGTTACTTCTGGATCACCCTGTACATACATAATGGTTGTAATGTCATTGGTACTATGCTTTCATTAAGTGCAAAGGATAAACTTTCAGACTTCATAGAAATTTGTTTGGAAATTGCTAGTTTCAATTTCTATCTCATCAAATATAGCAGTTTTGGAAGATTGATTTAAATTAGAGAAGTTTGTATCCTTAGCAGTTAGTATGAGTCAGTACTTAATGGCATTAATAGCACCCACCTTTTTTATTCTTGTTAGTGACCGGATAGTTTTCCCCTCCTGGCTTCAAACAGTGAGTTCTCTGAGAACCAAACTCTGATGTAGAAACCTGAACAGAATGGAAAGGCATACATATTCATGAAACCTGAGAACTAATTCAGGGATATTATACAGGTTTCATTTCAGCATTATCATTACATTTTTCATTTGACTTGATAACAAGCAAGTTGCAGGATAAACACATTGCTAGCTATGGACTAGCCAACATGATAGACCATGACATTATAACTGATACATGATTCAGTCTTGACCGTAGGCCTTATGATGTACCCTGTTTGATGAGCATAGGATATCATATGAAAGTACATGTATAAGTATACAGTATATGAGGTTATATAATGGTTGATTCCATATATCGTGTTTATACTCAAGTGAGTATATGATATATTGACGAGTGACTGAAGGGAACGAGTGAATATATCATATACTCCTGAGAGCATAACGATATACAGAATCAACCATGGTCCATTATATGATCTTATTATCCCACCCTAATCTTTTATCAATAAAAGGTTGATCTAAATTCAGCAGTTGTATATCAAGTCGAAGAGTTGTATACGCTGTCCAGGAGTTGTATACGCTATCCAGGAGTTGGATATCATTCTCAAGAGTTGTATACGATGAGTGTTGATTTTATATTGCAGTTATACAATGGTATTATACAATCATATAAAGCACTTAGGGTGGGATAACAGCAGATACTAAAATGCTATAAGTGTCAGTAGTGTATACCTGAAAGGTCAAACAGAGGTCATTCTCCACATCTCCCTCATAGTCAAGTAATTCCTGTAGACCATGGGCCAGATCCTGCAACACACAATTCATTCTATTCACATACATGTAGTCTATGTATTCATTGATTACCATTATTGCTCACTATTTATAACAAGTGGAGCATAGACTGGAGTCCATTGTAGCAATTACAAAATCTTAAAGTACAAATTAAACTGAAGAAAAAATGTGAATGGGCCAGGGAACTAAATCCTTTATGCTGAGCACTATTTTGTAGACCAAAAAGGATATACCAACTAACTCTACTTATATATAAACAGATCATCTATAACTCTACTCAAACATTTGTATACAATTATACAGATGTACAGGGTGCATCTTTAAGATAGCCTCAGTCTACTCACTGGATTAATATCTCTTAGGTCATCAAGGGTGGCTGGTGCCACTCCTACTTTGGCTGTGGGGTCATTGTATGGGACCACTGCAGGACTAAGTAGCTTCTTGTAACATACAGGGGGGAACCGAATGTCCAGTATTATACTGTTGTAAACAGCTAGACCCATAAGCTTTTAGAGTTAAGGTTAATTATCATACACAATGTAAATGGGTATTTCTTATTTATTTTATTTCATAGATGAAAACATGGATATAGAAACTGTTTTACAGAAATCACCCAAAGAATGAAAGCTAATTGAAGAGAACAGTATGTCTCAATCATATTTTTTACATTTTAATTTGCCCCCCTTCATTTTGATGTTCACCATTCAATTTTGACTCCAATGTTTTTTTTGAGTAGATGTATTTTGTCACAAAGGATACAACTCCGACTAGATTAAATTCCTGGTAATTTTCACAAACTGCTGAGCTGAACCAGTGAACTTTGGCTTTATTGTCATATATAAACATACCTACAATAAAAAATATAGTTAATAGTAACAAAAGCTTAAGCACTTGGATGAAATTAATGTCTCCAATTGAACGATGAGATATTATTGATTTCAGGCTACTCTTATAGGGTTAGAGTGACATTACATCCACACCTACAACAGAAACATATGTAAACACACCTACGCAAGTAACCACATAAAATAACATCTCTCGATTTAAAACATTTATTTTAAATTTAGCTATTTTTAAGAGCTAATTCTACTTGAATGTATATCATTGTATCATCTGTAACACTGGTTAAATTAAAATAAGCCTATTGCAAAAACAGTTTATCTATTTCACAAAAATACGACCTTTCCAATGAAAAACCAACAAAACAAAATTGAATTTTTACAACTGGCTCCAGCCATCAGTCGATATATTTTCCTTGGTAAATATCATTTTGACCCTCTGAATAAAATTAAAATAAAATAAAAATAAAATTATTTCTTCTCTCCTATCAAATAACTTCTATATCCTACATCAACTCACCATATTCAGGTTGGAAAATTTGTCTTATCAGCAATAAGAACCATTCCTTTGTCAGCCCTCCCATGTCCAACCCTGGCTCTCCTGTAAATGTCACCTTTAACTTTTTCTTCAGATCATGTTGCTTTTTTGCGATCTGAAAAAATTAAATTGGCTTAAACTCAAAATACATCAAGTGTTGGTTCTTGGAAAATGCTGGTTGAACTGACATTCACTATGGAAAAATCTCCAGTTGGATGGTTACGGAAAGTATTCAAATAAGTCGAATTGTTGATTCTGGAAAACACTGGTTGAATTTGAATTCTCGAAAACTCTTCAATCGAATGACTTATGCATGGGGAGCAACTCAAATCAAATTGGATGGTCATGCAAAATATTTGAACCTTTGAATGGATCTGCAGTACATTTCAACTCTGCTTGGAGAAGAATTTGTTTCAACTGGCGTTCTGGAAAACACTTCAGTTGGATGATTATTGGAAATATCTCAATTAGCTGAATTGTGAATAATATGAAAAATCTCAAAAGGTTAAGATGTTCTACCTTCAGCTATCTCCATTTTCTTTTTATCGTATTTGATAAGTGAGATTAAAAAAATATTATCTGCCCTTCACTCATTTTGTGATTACTTAACATATGACACATATATGATGCCATATTTCCCTGTTATGGTTACTGTTCCATGGTGAATATTTCATATCATTCCTATTTTGATATCTAGTATCGGGAGTCTGAACAACTTACTTGCGAGAGATACACAGGTACACTGGCTTCATCGTTTGAAATATGTATATTTCAAGGAACACTTACCTCATTTAGAGAGTCTGAGACTAGATTTGACCTCCGGACAGTAAGGTTCAGGAACAACATTCCAATATCTGGTAGCTGACGCCTCTGCACTTTGGCAACCAAACTTCTCTGAAAGTTTAGTTAAGTAAATTATAAACTATTCTGGAATATAACTTCTATATATTTTATACAATACATACTACTTCTACTGGTTATATTGTATTCTCAATTTACAATGTATTATTGTATTCTGTATTTACAATATATTATTATACTCTGTATTTACAATGTATTATTGTATTCTACATTACAATGTATTATTGTATTCTGCATTTACAATATATTATTGTACTCTGTATTTACAGTGTAATATTGTATTCTGTATTCACAATGTATTATTGTATTCTGTATTTACAATGTTGTTACTTACCCGTGCCATGATTATCATCTGTTGCTCAGAATCCCTCTGCAGAATACTTCTTTTGGCTGCTATACTTAATATGAATGGGTACTGGCAGAATGTAAACCTAAAAAAAGTAAACAGAAATATATTGAGAAATTGTGAAAGAATTTAGAAATAGTGAAGCATAACATGTTATTCCAAAAGTACATGTAGATTTATTGTTCAACTTACTTGAATTTATACATGACTTGCGTGACGTGGTGAGCCAAACCTGAATTTTACTGTCACAATTTTCAAGATTGCAAGAATGACTTGAATTATGACCTTTCCAAAACATGTAAATTGCAAATTAACATTGTATGTTTTTAACATGTCTGTTTTTACCCAGGTTATTTTTGTGAACTGACAAAAAAATTACTCTTTGGTAAATGCTAAACTTTTCCACAAAATAATGGATTTTGCCAATTCTACAAAATCCTATAGCACCAGAGAGGCATAGAGACTTACCCTGGGTGAGAACTGGGGTTCTGCCAAGTGTAGTATTCTGCCATCAGATCTAGGTGGTCCAGGGTGCTATTATAAAACTCTGTGTAGGGAATGTGTGTTGGATTGGAGTGGTTATTACAAGCATCTAAAAGTCAAAATATTAAATAATGGCAGAGTGGGAGAAATGTGAGCAACTTCTTATACCATTCTGCCTACATTTGGTAAAGATTAAATTCCAAATTTTACATGTACAAAAATATACATAAAATAGCATGTAGATTAAAGAATTCAATTAATGACGATGCTCTTTAAACTTCTTAGCCAACTAGTTAGACTGCAGCAAAGCCATTCTCTCTTTCTACATTCATGAAAATCCTTTCATATGATAAGTCATTTGATATGATGAGATCCAGCATGTGGTAGGACAGATACTTTATATGTTACTTACTGAGCAAGGCTAGAACTTTGGTTGCACTGGGGATCCACCAACTACATTTAGCCATTGGTGGGAGATCTTGAGGTTTAGGTGGAAATAAGCGACAGGATATAAAGTTATGGAGTCTTTGTACAAGCCCCTTGAATCTTGCTGGATGAAGTCTGCAACAAAATATGGCAATATCAGTAAACTACAAAGCCATTTAGCTCCTTTAGTTGAAGGCAGTGGATTTTGCATATATCACAAATCAGCTTTTGTGACAATTCAGAAAGACACGTTGATAAAAAATTTTCCAAAGTGGAATAGTTTCTGTGCTGGTAATAGCGAACAGTGTTTGTTCCTCAGACTATTGTGAGATAAAAGCCAGGTCCAAATCTAGTGAGAGTGTTGTCATACGAGGGATTAATGGGTGAGACTTTAAAACTATTCAAGTTTTCATACTCACCTTCTAAACCAGTTGACTAGATAGTGATGGTCTTGGTCACTCAATGCTGCTATTTGGCGCAGCAAGTGGGCAAATATTACATATGTGGCCATGTTGGTGAACTGTGGATTCTGAAAAACAACGAACATATCAGGATTCATCCTAAGACCAAGAATCTATCCTTTTGTACTGTAAAGTGTAGATGAAACACTCTTTAGAATTGATAGTCAACTTTTGCAAATGGCAACACGACTGAAATCAACACAGCCCATCATTTGAATGACATAAAAAAATAATCACATCCTTGGTTCTAATTGGGTGCTTTTGACCAGGAAATGACTTTTTCATGCAGAAATCAATCCATTCTCCACAGAAAATGCTTTATCATCAATCGAGATCAAGTTGAACCATTTACTAGTAACATTCTTCCTTCATTCCTATACCACAGTTGGTACTTTTAGCCACTACAATCTCTTAAAGTGTACGTTAAAGAGCGACTCTGGTAACTTAAAATGACTTAATGTGTATGTGTACCACCTACACCAGAGAGTTAAGTGATTCTGCATTTATATATTTCATATCATTTTAATAGACAGTATGTACCCATCATTGTTTATGATCAATGAAACCTAGTTTATCACCAAGAACATATTGATATAATAATTCTAACAAAGGGTTAAGTCAAAAGAGGCTCCAAGCATTGGCTGTGATTAAATATTGATTAACATCAGAATATATAAATATCACCATAGGATTTGATTGCATATTGGTAAATATAACATCTCTCAACTTATATGGCTTTTAGGGCTTGGTCTCTAAAATCGCCAAACATTAGATGCAAAGTTATTTGATGCAATGCTTCTTTCCTGAAAATGCCAAGGCTTAAAATCACTTCTTAAAAGTACTTCTTAGAAATTCTTAAAGGCAGTTAATCCCACTGACTATATCAATGAATGTTTTTCAAGCTCCAAAACTGATAGAAAATAATATTTGAAACAAGGTCTGCTGATGGTATAAGTTACAGATTATTCTGATTTTAAAATTTAGATATATTTTGGTATCAGGAATAGAGAATGAGTCACGTTTTAAGCAACTACTTTTATGGCTATACCTTATTGCGAAATTGTGGATCTTGAGAATGTTAAATTACACTAAAACATGTCTTAGTGAGCACCCATCTCGAGTGAACTGGACACCCTTCCTCCACACATACTCTACTGACTTCGGTATAAATTACCCTCTCTGTAGTGAACACCTATCAATACTAACATGTTTTTCTGGTCAAAAATGTTTAATATACACGTTTTACTGCAAAAATTTAGATTCACAAACAATATGTGTTGTATCAGGATATAAGGTTCCAATATATGTAAAGTACCTGCCTTAAATTTAGTTTTCCTGAAAAAGCTACCCATGTATTGATTTGATATACTCCCAAGAGACCAGTGTCAATAGTTAATGATGGATTCCTATATGTCATTGTTTTTGAAATTTCCCCCATGGCTTCATAACATCATGAAACATTGTAATTTTGTCTACAAGCATATTCTATAAAACAACTGGTATATTCAGACTGTTGTCTGTTTCTAATGACAACGCTGCATAATTAACATCTTTCTTCTTTCATAATTCATTAAGTGGTGTAGACTATCATAATGATCTAAGAATTAATATTTAACTACAGGGTTTCATTATCAGAAGCAGGCAATTTTCTTAGTCGTTTTTATCAGAATCACCTGCTGTTTTGAGGAACTTTGGAAATGTTTCCATGTTATAATTTCAATAACTTTGCCTACGGTTTTAATTTGTCTTCTTGTTTTGCAGCCGGGTATTCAGACCCCAACTTTAACAAATTCGGGATTTTAGCCATAATTTTATGTTTAACACCAGGTGAAGGTACGTGTTTTTAAGTTTGTGAGAGGCTCTCAAGGCTTGCAGACGTTTTAATATCAAAGGTCAATAATAAGGGCCAGACTAGTTCAAGGGAAAAATATACACAAGTATACAAGACAAGAGATTCAGAGATTTTTTCTAAACTGAACTTTTAGGCTTGGGTCGGGTGAAAAATATTGAGTATTTCTAGTATTCTGGAACATACATGAATGAAAAAAAAGATTTAAGTTTTGGTGCTAATAAGATCATAAGTACAAGTTCTAAGAAATTGAAGGGCTGTGATTTTGTGACATACTAATTGGATGTAGGGTGAAACAAAAACTTTTCCAATTTAATGGTCAATCTTTTCAGAGGGTGATTTCTTAACACATTGGGTCTAAAGTGCAAATGGAAGCTAAGGCACTAGTGAGCATTATATGTTTCATAATCTCAATGTTAAACCATTGCATTTCTTCTTGAGATTCATAGATCTTTCAATTTTCAGCTGACAAAAAGACTGGTCACCTGGTTATTTACCATAAAACAGAGCTTAACAGATATCTCTACAAAAAGTGGCTTACCTGGACTAGTATAAAATATGCTCGGAGATCATCTTTGGTATGAGGCCTGAAAATAGAGAAGTATTCTAAATATTCTACTTTATAGTTTCATTATTATTAACCATTTTCATTTTTTAGAATTTGTGACATTTTCATTACAAAAAAAAACAAAAAAAAAGATTTACAAGGAATGTAATACAAAAGAGTACTCGTATGTGAAATACATGTTCATGTACATTAATTAAAATGATATATTTTAATGATGACACATTTGGTTTTGGATGCTTTCTTATCTTTGTAGTACTAGCGCTATACATACATCATAAAACTGACAATATTTTAAGAGTGCTAGTAAAAATCTAAAAGAAAAGAATTCTACAAATGAAAAACAATTCATGATAAAACAAAAGGAAAAAAGATAAAATATTGTGTCTTCTAAATTGTACATAAAACTAAAATGTCTACACAGTACATGTTTGTGTAAAATATAACCAATTTGCAACAGAAGTCTCTATAAGCCCAGGACACAATTGTAAACCATCAATAAATATTCTTAACATAAAGAGAACAAGATTATTTACACAGATTATAAGATGGGATATGTTATGTCTTTTCAGTCCAGGCAGAGAGAGGCCAATATCTAAAATAATTAATTATATAACTGATATATCCCTAACATTTTGTTTTATTTTATACCACTATACTACAGTACAATCACTGTGCAGTTTTTGCTATGAAATCCACAACAAATATTAATGTGAAATATCTTTGTGTGAAACATATGGAAATAAAAAATAAATGATGAATGAAAAGAAGTAAAGTACTGAACTGGATTGAGAATAGGACACAAATAATCGAGGGCTCAAAATAGGAAATGAGATATATGCTGCACCTATCAGATATAATTTTAATATCCTATTGCTATTTCCCATAAACCTTAGAAAGTATGCAATGAAATAACATATCAGTGACATTTTCTTTTATAAAAAAATAAAAACAATGTCAACAATTCAATGTGCTGTAAAACGTGACATTATTAGATGTAGCTAAACTACTGTGTTTATTTATTAAAAATTGATGAAGACTACATGTAACTAAAATTTAGAATCCTACCATTTTCTTGAAGTGTCTGCTAGTCTGTTTTAAAAAGATGTAGCAAGAAATATTAACTTAAATACTGTGTTGTTCAATAAGAATAAACCTTAAATTATGGTCCTAAATCAAATAGCAAACAAGGCATTAATATGCAAAATGTCACCACCTGCCACTTGTTACGGATGCTAATTGCTGACCTCTAAAAGCACTGCGCCAAACACTATCAACAAAAAGTTGGAGACGTGAACAATATGTCACCACTTCTGGTGGTGACATAAAAACTGATTTTTGTGAGTAGTACAGTATTTAACTATCAATTTGCACAATTAACAAGTTAACATATATATTACTGTATATACATATTAACATAAATGCACGACAGACACTCACCTCTTGTCTTTGAGCAAACTGTTGATCATGGCTTTTAACACAGATTTTTGAATGTCTTGTGGCTAAAATAAAGAATTAAGTTTTGAAATCCATAATATAAATTATCATGAAATTATTTAACAATCTCAGCTAAATTGTGTGACTTTCTCGATAGTAATGTGGGTACTGGGCTGACATGTTGTTGTGGTATTAGTTCTCGGGACAAAAAGTCAAAAATCCCCACCTATGATGTACCAAGAATGTCCAAAAACTAAGCATTTGTAGACATTTATACCAAGAAACATTCCTGAAAATTTGTTTGATTTTGTAACAGGTATACTGGATTTAATGTATGTATTTTGGGCATATGGTTATAGAAAATATAAAAAACAGTATCTGAGTCATAGTCTGGACACATGGACAGAGTTGAGTGATATGAACCTTATGATTAGCCAAAGTAATGCTAAAGATCTATTTTTTCTAAGAACTGATTATCTAAGGATATTTACTCACCAGATCGACCATTAGATCATAAACAGTGTTAACAAACTCTAGCTTTACACCAGGGTCATCAGTGGATTTATATTCTTTGTTGGGATCTCTCTAAAAATACAAAGAGAGATACATTGAGGGGAATTATGAAACATGTAATATTCGGAAAATTTTATACTATATGCTTACAGCTGAATTCAATGAATTCAATTCAATGGCACCCTCTAGCAACACAAACTTCTAAAAGTCCAAAGAATAATTCACAGGGGGGTGGGGGTGTGGGGGGGGCAGGGGCGATAACTCTGCAAAAGATCTGGGTTCTAACAATTTTTTGGTGAGAACCCACAGGGATTAGACAAAAGATTTATGACTGTGCAAAGATATTTTTTCTTTCATTAAAAACCCCAAATGATGTTGCTTGGGTAACTACAAACAATATACAACATGAGCTTCAATCTCTGTCTGCATCTACAATATTATTCCAATTCTATTAAAAGTTGATCAATCACATTTTTATGGTAACCCTTTTTAAAATGTCTGACAGATGAGCATTCAATCTGATATTATTCATAAGGAAATTGTCTCTTGAAAATATTTTATATCACTATTAGGATACGGTGTCACCATGACCTATTTCCACAATGTATTGTTCAAAATAGTCAGTAAGATATCAGTGTAATTCTTGATATAAAATACTTTTTCTTTAAAATGATTGATTTTTTCTTTTCAATTATTTACATGCAGACAGGCATTCACCTATTCTCTGGCGTTTGCCTGTATGAATAGAGCTATATAGTAAATAGTAAATTATTTATCTCTAATCATGATGCTTGTTAAGTTGCAACCTAGGACTTGTAGAAGTTTGTGTTGCCAGAGAGACTGAAGTAATCAATATAATACACAAAAACATTTCCATCAAAACAACTGATTATGCATAGTGATCTCCCCAAATTTTTTCTTCGTGTAGTGTGAAATCCTAATTTTAACTTGGTCTTGGTCAAAATATCTCAATATAGTAAAACCGTGTCATGCTGAATTAAGGACTAGGATCTTAAATGTTTTGAAGTTTCAAACTTGGGTGTAAGTTTGAAATAGAGATCACATTAAGGCTGCCAAAATTTGTTCAGAACAATTTTAAATATTTGGTACCATTCCGATTGAAATTATGGAGTCAGTAGAGACACCAGGGAAACCATTCCCTGTATGCAGGTTTTAAGATATATCAACTCATTTTCAGCAGAGTCAGAATGGCATGTAATTTTCAGATTCCCAACAAGGTGCTGCACCCAAATGGTCTCATGATATTACCGACTGACTTCTGATTACCATACTAGACTAAAAAAAACATTTTCCCCATTCTTCATGAGAATCTGAACAATGTTCAGCTTTTAAACCATTATATTCTAGGTAATTTGTTATACCTGTCAGGGTTCTTGCTAGGATTTTAGAGAATGGTTTTCAAACCTGATAGTGCCAGTCTCTGGTTCTATGAATAAATACTGTCAGACTCTAACTTATATAAAACATACTGTAATCTGTAGTAAAATTAGAAAAGTAGAATCTATTGAAAAAATAAATGGAATTCAACTTGATTCGCCATCTTGTTTGTTGTTTTTTGGTAGCTCTTCAGTCTATAAATCTGTGTTTTTATTTCGCAACTGCCAGTATGGAATAAATGTTTCATGAAAATTAAGCTGCAAAATTGTATCTTGAGTCGTTTATCAATGAATGTACAAACAAAACCAACAATATATTCTCTCCTTTTCGCAAGTGTAAATATCGATTGTGTTAAATGGATCGTGCTTTAATAACTAAAAGATGATATAATGCTAAGTGAATTGACAACTTAATTCCATCGCTTTTGTTCCTTAAGTGACACTCAAAGTAGGCTTTCAATCTAATTTCAAATGATTAAGCAATTCTGATAACTTAATCTTGAAATAAGAAGGAATATCTCCATGATTTTGAATATGCCTTTCAATTCTTCTTTATTCACGCAAACGTGTTGATGTTCAATTAATACCTTAGACAGGTCCAGGATGTAAAAGCTATCGTGACCACTGAGCAATCAATAAAATACCTCAGGACACATAACAATATTGATTGTAAATATGTTACATGCTAAATAGATGTAGTTTACTTCAGATGCAAAAGGAGGTGTACTTGTTAAAAACAAGAAACTAGTTTCCGAAATATTCTAGTTAGATTTATAAATATAAATAAATAATTAATAAATTTCTCTTTAAATTGAAAATTTCAAAACATGAAACAAATATTTTAGTTCTAAATCATGCAAACTGGTTACATTGGAACTTTAAAATCTGAACAGAATATGAAACCCGAATTTACTTACTTTAAATACTGCATTTAGTTCAAGAAATGAGTCAAATGTTGTGGCATAGAAATCTTGAAGTTCCTTCCAGTCTTTAGTCTCCTTTGCTTGAATAACATCATTTCTACAAATAACAATTACATAAAAGACTAGCATATCTTCCAAGTTAAAAAAACTACATAAAAATAACAAGGTATTAACATGCAAAATATGACCACATGCCATTTGTTAAGGTTGCCGAGCACCAATCGTCAGATGCACAACATCCACAAAAAAGTTTGAGACTAAAACAATATGTCATCATCTCTTGTGGTGGTGACACCGAACAAGACAATTAAATACAAGTGGGTAAGTTTTCCATATCTATCATATAAAATAGTTGACCTTGAGGCATCTCCTTACTTAAATGTACAGTAGTGCAAAATATAATATATACGTACAGTACAGTACAGCACAGATACGTACAGTACAGCACAGAAACGTACAGCAGCTCAGATACGTACAGTACAGATACGTACTATCAGTTATCACACGTTTCAGCATGTGATACAGGAAATATTCCACGAAAGGTAATACTGTATCATCCACGAAAGCGAAGCTTGAGTGGTGATACATTGTTACCCGAGTGGAATATTTCCTGTATCACATAAGCTGAAACGTGTGATGACGATTTTATCACATGTCTAGGAATCTTGAAGCATTTTGATTTGGTCAGTTATGATTGTGTTCAGTACCTGGTGTACTTCTGGTAACTATTATAATTTTTGATTTCGCTTTGAAACAATATGACGTCATTCCGTTGTATTCGTACTTGTTTGTGAAATATTATGACGTCATATTGTTTTCCTTAGCTAGAAGTGATAATCAGTGACGTCACATCATTGCTATTGATCATCACTGGTTGCCTCTAGTAACGTGTGAGACGGCCATGTGAGACGGGAAAACTCACACGGTAATCAACCAATCAGATTACTGGAATTTTACAGAGCATGTGATAAAGTACAGTACAGCACAGATATGTACGGTACAGTACAGTACAGAAACGTACAGTACAGTACAGCACAGATATACAGTACAGTACAGCACAGATACGTACAGTACAGTAAAACCTGTTTGAAATGAACATAATGTCAAAGATTAATGAATTATGTATTTGTTACAGAAATCTCTTTATATAGTGTAAATCTCCATGTATATAACAGTCAGGGATAATATTCAATGTTGTACATACGGAGAAACATATAATTGAGAAATCAAATATAAAGGATTAACACAGGAAGTGCTTCAAGGCTATTGATGTTCTCACATTTTCAATAAATATTTCTGTTTGTACCATCAAAAGCACCACAGGCAAGTATATTAGGTGTTAGGTTTTACAGATCAATGATTAGTATTGGATATGTACCTTATAAATGAATGTGAGCTGTGTAAATCAGATATTTTGGATACAAGTATAAATATGATATCTTGGGTATGCGAGCACTGGACCATCAGTAAGATATCTATATTGCATGATGGATATATTCCCTATCTAAAACCACCTATAATATAATCCTCAAATACCCTTACTGTGACTACATGTACTTAGTTTATTGAAATATTTGTGATATGTATTAAAATATGTAAATACCAGAATACACATGTAGGCTAAGAAGATTTCACTTACTGCAATTGGTCAGCAGTCTTTGTTCTTATTGGATATACAACTTTCTGAGAACCGCTAGCACTAGAAGGAGCTGGTGTATGTCCATTGCGACTTCCAGTCCGACTTGACAACTGACTATTTGGTGAGTCAACGGTAAGCCTTCCTTTGGATTCCTGAGCTATTACAGGCAATGATTGGTCCTTTAGTGACGACCCACTGCTTGTGTCTGATAAACCTGTTTTTGACTTTCTTGAGAAAAAGTTGACGATACGCTGTCCAAAATCTGTCTTCTCCTAGAAATATTCAAAGGAATAAATCATCAATATACATCAGATAATTCTATTGTTTTATGCACATTGAAATCTTTACCCTTTGCAGGACCAGTTTCATCTCACCCTCACCATGGTAACATTTGTAAACAATAGAACAGTGATATTCTGGTACAAATTAGACTAATGAGGATGTCTCTTAAATCTGACTTCAATGAACTTCAAAATAACAGGTTCTAGGAAGTCCATGACATGGCCTAAAGATCATTATTTAGAAAAATGTATTTGTTTCGTAATTGAACCAATCATTATCCAATTGAGAATTTATTCTATTTTGACAATTTCACTTGAATTATATAAATTGTTTGCAGTCAAACTGCACTGATGAAGCAACATCTTCATCTTGCTATACCTCAGACCTTCACCATGATTATACCCTACATCCTGTACATATCAAGTTAACCTAGCATTATTGATGATAAAACATACCAGACTAAAAGCTTTTTGTAATTGTAAACCAAACAGTCATTATAGATGCAACCTAGATTACCATTACTTTATTTAAACCTGCACATCGCTCCAAAACGCAATATGTTGACAAAAAATGTTTTTACATTTTCAAGCTCTAATATAAAGTTTATGTAAATAAAAATTGTTTTTTCTGTGTAATATCAAAGAACAATCATTTAGTTAAAAAAATAAAAAGGCGAATGCGGGTTTTGAACCAGGACCTCCCGCGTGCTAAGCGAGCATTCTACCGCTAGACCACCGTGGTATTATGAATGGTGGAGGTAATTAAACGCTACTTATTTTGAATGCTATGATTCGGAAGTGACGTCACGTTCTTCATTTAGAAACCTTTCCAAAATCATATCGCCGGCACCGATCGAAGCAAATTCAATGAAAAATCTTTGAAATGACACATTTATCGTAAGTATTTCTACACAAGATTTGCCCCATTTGTTCATCATTCTATAATCTTTCATTAAGCTCGAAATGATAAAGTTCACCCTCGAAACAACCAAAGATTGCGTTTCGGGGCAAGGTCCAGCTTTAAATGAGCCAACATTTCTTAGTTCTACACACACTTATGTAATGTATTACAATATTACCTTTTCTATTAAGTTCATCTGATCCTATGTAGTCAATGACCAATGAACTGCTCTTTTAGTCTATTTGTCAGACTTTGATATCTACATGTATATAAATAATTAGAGATGTCACGGAACAAAAAAAATCGGAAGGGTTCGGTTCGGAACATTTTGCTTCGGAACGGAACAATTTCGGAACGGTTCGGTACAGAGTGACTGCGTGTTTAAGATTAAAATAAGTTGATCGTCTAGGTCTATTTGGTTGCGAAAAGCTCTTCAATGAGAAGGAGTGAAAAGAAAGAACCTCTTTTGATGCAAAATATTGAAAGAAAAATGCTGTTTTGTGGCGATTTAAGGGCCAAAAGTTTTGAAAGGGTAAAATGTTCTTGTTCCAGAACCGAACCGAAATTCTTAATTTGTGTTCCATTCCGAGGGCTCCACGGATCGGAACAAAATCGGGCATCCGTGACACCTCTGTAAATAATAGTGAATTGTCATCAGTGGTAAAAGAATATTTAATTTTATTTGGGAGAAGGGAGTATATAACAATTTCACTTATGAAAGGAAAATCAAAAAGTGTCTAATACACCATCAACATTTGTGATCCCACCCCTTGCTTTAGTAATATTTATCTCATTGAAAACAAGATGAAAGACAATAAAATATCAATCCCCTCTAACCTCTAAGACTTGCCACCTCAAAATAACATTTAATAAACAGCTATCAGCAAGTGTGAACCTTTTTTCAATTAATTTCTACAGCATGTAACTTTTCTTATGATATCATTTTTTCAAAGTAACCTAATTGATTTTTAGGAAAGAATATCATAATGGTTTTAAATGTAAGATAATGAATTTTCACCAACAACACTTGTGATATCTTGTTAGATGTTTAAAATTGTCAGAAACACCTCAACATAAAGAGGTAGGAGGCGCAATAAACTTACATTCATTAGCTGACAATTCTTTGCTTCATAAGTTTAAAACTCTTTTTGATACTACTCACCATGTTTCCTTCAAAATCGTCAAAAATAATAGTACCCAACAATTTTGTAGAACTAGTGTCGTCTGTGACAAGAGCTAGAAACCTTTTCGATGCACATTACTGCATTTGTAATACTTTTGTTTATTATTTCCAATAATTATCCGAAACATTTCCCATATAAATTACTTATTTCAAACAATATGCGCCCATTAGAGCAAGACTCAGGTAAGTAGACATAATGCTAAATAAATATTAGATCGCTTACTTGTAGAGGATATTGGGTGTAAATTAGACTAATGGTCAATTATCTCGATGTTACTGTGACATGGTGTTACACCAAGCTTCTGGTTCCCCCTTGTATTTTCGAATCACATGTAGTATGTGTGATAAGTGAGTGATACACGTGGGTTTGATACAAGACAGTAACACATAATGAACAGTTATATTTGTTTTATTACAATATGAGTAGAAGACTAATTCGAACTTGGAATAATTTTTGCAGAAATTCTCATGGTTCAATAATGTACTATTAATTAAACAACAATCATCTTTTAGGCCTATCTAAGCATCTAAGTGCATCTAAGTGACATCGATCCTAAATGCAGTTCAGGTTCCCCTTTCACTATTTATTTCCCTCCACTTGTGTGGAGGTAGAATTCTAATGGTTAAACCTATTAGTGGGGCATTAGTATCAGTGATCTCCCAACCATTAAAGCATGTTGGCGCAGCACCCACCTGAGATTTTGGAAATAGGCTCACACCCACCTGAAAATCCATTTGCACCCATTAGAAAATGAGAGAAATCATGAAAAATTGACCAATTTTGGTCTGAATTGTGAAAATGAGAATTTTGCACCCACCTGAGAAATCCTGGGGAGATCACTGAATATTATATGAATATCTTTATATGGACTTGCAGACTTAAAGATACAATAATATATAATATAAAAACTGAATTAAAGTCCTAAGAAAATACTTAGTAGGCATTACATGACAAAATGTCACCTACTGGTTGCACACACTGTACTTGAATACATTTGTACATATGAGTTTCAAGTCTTTGACATGACTACTTTGACTACTTTAAATTATCTTCCAAAGACTTCCATGTAAAAACCTGGTGATGTGAACACCTCCGACCAGAACACATTTGGCAGGTCTTAATGGCATTTGGATTAGACAGGTTTTACTGTAGTATAAAACGTGAATTAAATCAAGTTGTATAATCAAATTTTTCATATATAAAAACATGACATAAAAACGTGATAGACTTTCATAACATTCATTATACATATAATACTATATACCAGACTTGACAGTATATCGTAATAAATCTCTATGAAAAGAAATCAATGCAATATTGATCATCAATACTTGAAACAAAGAAATTGGCCTTGGTAGATATTGTTTTTAAAGCTGAACATTGCAAGAACTCAAGAGATACACAAGTACCTTTTTGAGACTTAAACCTATTACAATCGAAATAACACACCTCCAATAACAAAATAATAAAGTGCCTTTAAACCAACTTACCCAGATACCCAGTGGCTAGACACATTATACTATGACTATGATAAAATATTTTCCAGTTAAAATGTAGCTTTCATGGCCTTGTTTAAAAATGAGATTTGGATTGGGAAATGCAGAAAATATAACACAGGGATTTTTTGACTACTGATTGGAATAAGCTAAATCAACTATTATCTCTAAATCTTAGAGTATCTTAACAATGTCAAGTGCTTGCAAAGGGTAGGATATTTGATTCATTATTTTGATAATTGATTAAGCCTAACCCGATATTATGAAATATACCATTGTTCTGTATCTATTGTGTTATGGTATATCCCTAAAGTTATGTTTCAGTAATTGAAAGTCATTTGATAAAAAATCTATAAGAGCATAAATTTGAATCTATTTGATAATTCAAATGAAATTAGACAGTGATAAACTTGTGAGCCTATTTCATTCAAAGGCAAAAAAGTCCAAGTAATTTTGCTGAAATAATCGCAAGGTCATTGGTAACTTAAGTTTTCTTATGAAAATGTCTGCTTGGTGAGAAAAGTATTTAGCCTGTTCTACCTAAAGTGCTAGTTACAGGTAGGTATTGATTATAGATCAAATAACATATTAGGATAGGCAATGTTTCTGTATAGAAGATCCATGATGTCATAAGATCTATTTTCATATAGTTCAAGAACATAAGAATAGTTGTGGCACATTGATAATGATCTAACTTATCTTACTGATTATCAGTAGAAATATATACAGGGTGGGCCAAAAAAAAACACCACTTTTTTTCAAGACACTATAACTTTTTTATTTTCCAACCTACATACCCCAAACTTTGCAGATAGTGCCAGGGGTTCTTAGTAATAATATAATGTAACAAGTCCTTCAACTTGGATAAGAGGAGTTCAATTGGTCCTCCAACCTATTTGATGATAGATTTTAGTTTTAAACGCCTTGCTGATATAGCAGTATCAATGGAATGTTAGCTAAATTTTTTTCAACATGTCTTCATTGCCAGCTTTAGTTGAGCAAATTTTTAGATTTGGTGCTTTCATACAACCTCCTGGAGACCTTCCCATACCCTATACTCACTGGGGTTTGCATCAGGGCTATTAACTTGGCGGTCATCAGGCCATATCAGTTCAGGAACATTTTGCAAATTATGCTTATTTCTCATGGCACACCACGTGTTTAAGTGAGTACAATTCATGATCCATGGCTAGATAACAACTTCAAGTTTCATTTGGTATGCAAATTATGATTTTGTACGAAAAAATAAAAGAGTCATAGCATTTTGAAAAAAAAGTGTCGTTTTTTTGGCCCACCTTGTTGTATGCTTAAAATCCAATAAATACTGTCACTTTATATCAGAAAATATGGAGAAAATTGATAATTGCAAGAGTATTCTTTGGTCACTTGTAATATCCAAATATTATCAAAAACGACTTGCTACATGGTACATGTTTTAATATTTGGCCTCATTTCATCAATGGCACATGATATATAATTGGAGATGTTCATAAAATGCTGCCTTATATGAATATTATGATTTGATCAGTAGCTGGGTGATTAGGTCAACAAGTTAAACCTAGTCTGGCCTTATTTCTTTTTTGACATCTTTTGTGGCTTGATCGAGTAGAGATTTCATGCGCATGTAATTAATTCCTGATTTTGCAATATTACTCCTAAAATAATGAGATCCGAGCAACCATACATTACCTTATGAATAAAGACATATCATTCAATATCTACATGTGTCCTCGATCATGCATATCAAGAATGTTTTTGAGACAGGTTTGATAAAATTTGGTTTTGATTTAGGTAACTTTGAAGTGGTAAATCCTGTCAATAAATAAAGTGCCATTGACGACACTGAATGAAACGTCGTTGACAAGTACACTTTGAACCAAGTTACATATTGTTCTTCCATAGGATCTATTTAATATCCCCGAGAAACATTATCAATAAATTTATTCAACAACAATTTTATTTCCACAAAAGTTAATTTAGTGACACTCAAACACAAATGGTCGATGCCAAAATATGTTTTAGAAATCAAACAAAATAGCCATATTTATCAATTATAAATGCGAACTCCCATGCAGTGTCTCGGTATAGACACAGCGGCGGGCAGATGAAGAAAATCCCAAAAATTTGGTGAAAATAGTTCTCCTTTTCATTGTATATGTGGTCAATTTTCACACAACTTATAAAATATGTATTCGTGAATGTTCCCCAATCATTATTTTGTTAAAGTCCCCGTCTAAAGTTTGAAAATATTTTTTTATCTTTCATTTACTATTTGTCAGGACTTGTCAAGTGATTTTAGAGATTTTTGAACAAAAAAAATTTTTGGAAAAAAAGTTGTGAGCATTTCATTTCTCAAATATTCAAATTTCCCGCCATTTTTTAAAAAAAGTTGAAATTTCTAATCATCAAATATTTCTTAATGCATTTCAAAAAAGATTATCTTTTTAACACCAATGCAAAGGTTGAACAAAGGACACACTATTTCAATAATAAAATGCCATATTTAATGGGCCACTTCAATGTTTTAGCATATCAAAAATATTTTGAAACATTAGTGATGTCACTAAGGTACCAAAAATTTTTTGAAAAAAATTGAAATTATTTTTTCGATGTCAATCTTCTCTAAATATGTTAGACTTTCATAAAAAATCAATGTTGATTGTCTAACCAGGTTAAAAGGAAGAATAAATTATGTTTTAGATATCATTGTACCATTGGTTTCTATGAGAACTAAAATTTTGAAATGCATTTTTCTCAGAACCATTTTCATGCACTGATAAGTTCTTTTCTCGCTTATTTATGAACCGATTTTCTTAATTTTTTCGGCAAAAAACATGGGAGGATGAATGCTATGCATTGGTATGAATTGTGGCAAATTAGAAGATATGAGTGACCTCTAAAATAAATTCACAAATTTTGGAACAAAAAGTCTATCAAAAACCACTTTTTGAAATTAAAAAAAAAAGTTTCACATATCACACTTTGATAACATTGGGTAAGACTACAATATAAGCCAAAGTGGTTTAAACTTTATATGGGGCCTTTAAAATATCTCAAAATTATTGAAATATGAGAAGAAATCACTGCGGAAGGAATTCTGAGTAAAAGTTGTGTTAATAATACTTTACCACACGTGTTGTTTATTAGTTAATACGCGCAATTCAACCAATGAAATTGTCTAAATTTTACAATCATGCGACCCAAGCATGGAACTAGAACCAATCGCGTCAGTTGTTTATTACGACGTTACCATGATTACAGTGAGATACCTGCCCACCGCAGTGATATATCACTGCATGGGAGTTTGTTATAAATGAACATTTATTTTTTAAAAATTATACGGAATCGTTTGCTTGCTCGGATCTCATTATTTTAGGAGTAATATTGCAATGGTTCACAGCCATTTGGGTATTGAGGGTAATGAATTAGCTGATAAACATGCCAAGACCACTGCGGCGGAAGCAACAAATATAGTTACCTCCACTCGCTCAATCACTAAGTCTGATGCATACAAAGCCATTAAAAACAGCTCGAGGTCTAAATGGCAACTGGTTTACTATCATTTATCTAAGGCCAAGAAAACCCAGAACTTGTGTGAACATGACATGAAATACTTCTGTTTGATTAATCAACTCATCACTGGTCACACTAAACTCAGAGACCATCAGGCAAAAGTTAACCCTAATATCTCAAGTAAACTTTGTGAAGCTTGAGTGTCACAAACCGGAGACTGTTCATCATTATATTTTTGAGTGCAAGCTCTTCGAGTTAGACAGGAATAAACTGTTTCATGAGATAGATACTATACATGTACTACTAGGCTACACAGGAAAGTGTAAACCCAGCATAGACCTCAGACTTTTAGCAGGGTTTCACAGACCAGCTTCATAAGTTTTATTAAGAACACTGGACGATTTTAAGAATAATTAAGTTTTATTGAATTTTTATTTAGTGGATTTTAGGAACTTTTAAACTAGCATTTACAACAAGTGACAGCACAAAGAGCTATAGCAACCTAATAATAAACCAGTACAGAGAGACTAATAGGTGACATAAAACCACCATAAGGATACCAACAACAACAACATGACTGTGTTGAAATGATCAGAAGTAAACAAACCAACCACTGTGCCATCTATCAGCATGTCACTGTCGGCCTATTTATGTTTACGTGTCACGACAGGATAATTACCCAGGATCAAAATAAAGTAAATCATCAATAAATACACATCAAAATAACTGTTTACCGATTTATCATCAGCATCCTTCAACTGTGGCAGTTTTCCATCCTTCAATTTCTCATCAGCTCTTCTTCCATAGCGCGCCTGAGCGGCCGCCTGTTCAGGGTTGTAAAAACTTCCACACTTTGGACATATTGTTCTCCTTGTGCCTGCTGGTACCGTCACTACTAATGCACATGTAGAACATGTTAGAGTTCGTTCAGATTCGCTAGGAGGATTAGACATCACCGAAATTGTAAGCTCATATTTTCATATTTTGCGTCCATTTTCTGTCATTTTCGAGCCTAACAACATCAGAAACCACGCTAAGATCAATGCGCTAAAGAAAAAATCTTAGATACAAATTCGACATGTTTCGTGTATTTTCATCGTCCATTGATTAATCTGAAATACCAATGAAGTAAAATTAACTAATTTACACGTTTGGAGAACATCCAGAGCTTCCATGGATCAGTCACAAACCTATTTAATGGTTTCTATGGCCCAGTAAATAAGTTCTACGCGTAATAATATTCAGTCGATAGGTGTCACTATATTTCAAGATGTCTGCGCCCATGAAAATGTCACAAATTTCAAAAATGACAATATAATGAATATTATATCAACTACTTGCATGTAGATAACAAAAATGTGGTATCGAACAATTTTTCTAATTACGTACAATTCATAGAACTAATGATGAATACCTGCTGCACGCATCTGTTGTTGAAATCGGCTGGAAGACTTTCATCACGTAAAATCGCCCATGCAATTTCAAGAAAGGCATTGAGAAATGGATTGTCACCCTGTTCATACGTCAGTGTTCGGTTGAAGTCAAAGGGTGACAAGAAAAACTTGAGTGCTTTGATTGAACCAGTACATGTTCCTCTAGTTAGCAATCCTGACCATATCAATGTTGGTGCAGAAATAACTGGGGAGCCAATAAAAAAAGGTATGTCAAAAGCTTGTGAGTTTCTCAATCTCAAAGACCTCTTTTTTACATTTCATAAAAAGATAGACATCATTTTTGATTTGTGATGATGGAACAAATACATTTCTGAAAAAAGTGTTATAAAAAAGACATGGGGGTCTTGGGGGAAAGTCTACCCGCCTATATACAACCTACCGCCGAGCAAAGACCCGAAGATGTCTGAAAATGTAGGGGGGAAGTTAATAAACTCCTGTTTATATATTGAATTTCTCAATATGAGAAATATATAAAACACAGAATTGTTTGTAAAGTGGGGGACAAAACTAAACCTCAACCATCCTATGAGATGTAGTTTACCAAACATTTGATTGGCGGTATAATTGTGTCTTACTCGGCGGTAGGTTGTATATAGGCGGGTACAGTGTAGACTTTCCCCCCGTGAAAGAGGTAAGTTGACTCCCCATGTTCCAACTCGATATTCTGCCATATATGGAGATGTTGTGATTACAAAATTCGAATTCAAACAGCTGCTATTTTGTTCACTTCAAAATTTGAATCGTGAATTTTGGTCTTATTTCCAAACAAAAAACTGATCGAGATATGGTTCGAATCATTTGGACTGGTGACTATGAATTTTATAGTCACTAATAATTTCATAAAATAGATTAAAGACATGGTGACATTTTCATTGTAGGAAAATATCAATCCTCCTTGTGCTATACCTGCACATGTTATTTTCTGGTACAAAATTTACTATGAAAATTCAACTGAAAAACTGATCAAGATATGGTTCAAATCTTTTGGACTGTTGACTATGAATTTTATAGTCACTAATAATTTCAGAAAATAAAGACATTCTGACATTTTCATTGTAGGAGAATATCAATCCTCCTTGTGCTATACCTGCACATGTTATTTTCTGGTACGAAATTTAGTATGTAGGCATGTTTGAATTTCCTTGCTTTTTTCAGGAAAGTATCATTCCATTGCATATTCTGCGAAAGGTATTTAAGGCGAATTATTAGCATCAAGTAGTAGTAGTCACCTAATGACCAAACTGCTCTAATACATCACTTCCGTTGAATAGAAAACAGTAGTTTCAAAAATGAATGTAGTCTCATCACAATTGGGATCATGCTGAGTCTGTAAGCTGGTTTGTAAAGTGGTGAACATAAATAATGACTAATACTATGAAAAGGACATTCTGTCACATATGTCATAAATTCTTACTTCAGTGAATTGAGTGCTCTATTTTCTCCATCCCGGAACGTACAAATATAGTGGAATTTGTGTCCATAATGACAAATAGGAACTTAAAAATTTGAAATGATATTCACATGTTAATGCAGACTCTTCAATTGTTGAGGTGATTTTGGAGCCCGATTACTCCGCAAGGAGGATCGGCTCCCAGAATGCAACATGACACGTGCCAGCTTTCACAATGCCGTTCCGTCATTTTGAAACCTGTCACGAGTAAATAAGGTTAACTGATGTTGCATTCTGGGAAACAATCCTCCTTGGATCACAAACATTTCGATCCATGAAAACATTTGTTCGATTTTGGTAGGAATTTATCTATCATTTGCAGGTATGAAGCTTTGGATTCATTTATTGTGCTACTTAAAGTGAACAGGAATTTTTTTTCTACCGCTTGGGAGAGTTTGACATGAAACATAGAATTTAGCTTATTGTGACAACTTTTGATGGTTGAGGTTTATTAATGTCTCTGTAGGTTCAGCTGTCATTTTTTGCAATAATAACATGCCATCTTAAAATGAAAAATAAGGTGTTTGCCCTTTTGCCCTTTAACTTGTATGATGACGTGAATTAGGGATGTTTTGCTGATATTCTAGAGCTGATTAACTTTTCGGTGGGCATCTTGTTCTCAGGGTCAACAAGCCAACACTGCTATATTTTAGGCACGATATTGTTCACCCTGTGACTTGTTCTATATTTATGTCACACTCCAACTTTTGGACAGTGTTTGGCTTTAAGGCTTCAGGCTTCAGCATCTGTAAAGAATTCTAACATCTGTTCATTTGTGTGTCTGGGCTATATAACTCAAATACTGGTTGAGGGCTTGAGGGATTTGCTTCAAGTTTATTTTTGATAGATAAAATACTGATTGGGTACTTTTGGCGCCCGCTTTAATTTGGTGAAATAGAAAAATGCCAACAAACATCTTCACCAAAATTTAGAGAGGGTCCCCAAAAATTTCGTCTGGTGCATTTCAGTCACTTCCGGTTTGGTTTTTACAAAATCTGAAAAGGATATGGGTGAAAATCAGAACATATGCCACTTCTAATTAAGCTCAGGGGAGTTGCTTCAATAATAAATTACTAGATATAGTAGTTGAATCGAAGGAGTGGGTTTAATATAGGTTATTCAATGATTCGAGTGAAATACAGAAAATATTCTCTCTGAGGAAAGTTAATCATTAATACACACCTTATTGGGTTGTTTTGGTTTATATCACAAGCAAATGAGGTGTGTATTAATGACTAACATTCCTGTTATCTCAAAATCTGCTTGGAACTATACCATTGGATTACTAGTACTATGGGAAATTCCTCAAAGAGAAAATTCTATGGATTATGGAAGGGGTACCATTTACACAATATGAGAAATTATTGGCAAACATAAAACCTATTTAAAACAGCATTAATATTATTTAAAAGCGATTGTAATAATGATTCCCAGCCCTCTGAAGTTTGAAAAATAACAATACCTGGGTGTTAAAGCAGCAGTATGGACTGCCGAGTCGTATCTAGTGATCCTTGGCCTATCGTAAAATGAAAGCTTTGAATATGTTATAGCCTTTAAAGATGTATCTATTTTCCATGTATGCAAGTAGAATTTGTGCACATACCTTATATCGATCGATAATGGCAAAAGAAAATCCTCTAATTCTTTGTCTTCTTCTACTCCTTTGTCTCCGTCATTTTTTATCAAACTAGAAGTTTGTTATCTAACGTCCGCGCAATGTTTTTCACTTTATATCAGATTACGCTTTGGATTCAACTTTTAATGCTAAATATAATAATTGTCAAGTGATTTCTATAAGAAACGTTTTCATAAAAAGACTCACACTGTCAGAGATTTTATCGACTTGAGTAGCCAGAAAAATTAGTTTCAATTTCACCTTCTAGGTGTTTCGACGTCTACTTGGAAAGAATTTGAAAAATCTATAAGAAGGACTCCTTGTATAGAATTATAGATTCTAAACGATTTATCAGTTCTACTGGTTGATGAATATTGCCATATGCATACATTTTGATAAAATAGGAATAAGGAAGAAGATGTTAGACCAAACTTCGTCCCGATAGCTCAGAAAAGGTAAAAACCAATTTTTCTCTCCACAGTCTATGTAGCCGCTTTAACCTTGAAAATGAGAAATATCTTTTAGGATTATATGGTGGATTAGGATATATAGGATTATAGTCAATAAAATGTTTTAAAGTGTATTGGTGTGGCATGAAAAAGCTCCCCAGATTCATTTTACAAACAAATCACGGTCCTTTAACTGTTTTTGAACAAAGAGTCTTATGTCTATTAAATCAATGAAATCTCAATTGTCATGAAACTGTTGTTATGACATCATTTTACATAACATGAAATAGAAAAAAATTCAGGTTGATTTTTGAAGTTATAGAAGAAACAGTAACTTTTCCAGTAGATATTTTTTGAAGTCATATTCAACAATGGTATTTTCCAGTTTTTTCTGCAGATTTTAAAACAACTCGTTTTTCTTACAGATTTATTAGGATACATCACTATTACTATAATATTAGCAGTACTTAGACACATAAGATTTATATTTTCAAATATTCTCTGAACTGTTGTGCCAAACGCTGGTGGAATTCGTAATCAGCTGCTTCAACGTTAGGAGCATATCTTCCCCAATCATATGACATGGACTTCAACCCCTTTTGCACTCTATTACAGATTTCAATGTCCTCATCTTGTACCTTTTCACTTGCAACAAAGTTCTCATTGATTAGTTTATTTAAGCCATCATTATCTGTGGATCGCATTGCTTTCTCCTCCAGAAACCAATCGAATATGACATTGCAGGAGTCATGTGACTCTGGGATGACGTAGTTGAAGTCCATCCAGGGACCATATCTATTGATCATTACATTGGGATAGATGTGAGCATATATCACTTCTGACCCAACCCTAGAGCTGCCTTCGTCGTGATCACCTCCTTTTGACATTTGCAAGGAATAACCATCATGGATCTCAGTTTTGTAAGAACCAAGAGAGAGTAACTGACTAAGATCCTTGTGAGCATATTCAACATGGTAACCGCCATCAAGATAATTATCCACGAACACCTTCCAATTGCAATTTACTTTATAGGTCTTTCTCTTCACGAACTTCATTCCATCAGAGAAGCCAAGAGCATCTAATTTAGGAGTAAGGTTGGCCAGAATTTTCTTGGGTTCTGGACCAGTGTGCTCAGCATCAAGTTTTACAAATACCAGTGGGCCCCATGTGCTGACCTGTACTGGTCGTAAGCCAAAGTCAGAAGCTTTAAAATCTTTGATGCCCTTCAACCTTGTTGCTTTCATGAGTCTGCCATCTAGTTTGTATGTCCAGCCATGGTAAGGACATTGGAAATTAAGGGCACGTCCCTCATCTTCCTCCATGATTATTGTTGCATGGTGTCGACATACATTGAAGAAGCCTCTCAAAGTACCACCATCATCTCTTGTCACAATAAATGGCTCATCTCCAATTGACCCTAAAGTACATACACGTTAAAGCATTACTTTCTGAAACATTACTCTTCAAATAGTATTGGTCACAATCTGCTCTGTAGTGACAATAACATCAGAAAAATGACATTGAACACATCAGCCATTGAAGAATGTTTCAAATGCCAGGCGCTACTGTATAATGTACTTTACATATTATTATGGTTTCTGAAGGATTCTATAGAGTATCCTCTTTGCACACTCAGTCTTCACTGCGTTCCCCGGAGCCGAGTGAACGAAGACGATAGAATACAGCTCATCACTTACCTGTTATAAATTTCCCTACATCGTTAACTTGGTCAGTTCGTCCAACAGCTATCCAGTTCTTACGCAATATGGAAGACTTCTCCATCTGGTAAAACAATGGATCAATGAACCTAGAATTTAAAGAAGCCATTAATTGTTTAGATGTTTACACAGCATATCAATGATCATATTACAATGCAAATCAGTATATACAGTTAAACTTGTCAAGTGGAACGCCTCTGTAAGTAGAACACCTCCATAAGTGGAATACTTATCAAAGTCCTGCAATTGACTTATTGTTAATTTTAAACCTCTGTAAGTGAAACAATTCCCAAGTAGACCACCTTTTGGAGGTACCAAAGTATTCCACATACACAGAGTTTACTATACATCTGAATGGAGCAAGGTCAAAATCACTGATATTCTAATATTTACACTTGGTTTGAGGTGTGTGTAGGTACCAGAATAAAAGCAAATGCCATAGTTAGTAACCTTTTTGTCCCTTTGAATTGACAAGTACCATGAAAACAATATTAAATTTGGATCATAAGCAATCCATATCAAAAGTTTAATCATATGATATTATATTCGACCTTATCATCGGTTTATGATATGGATAGACATTAAAGCATGATGTTATTTTTCTATAGTCTCTTATCTCTACGTACATCAGAGCTAAGTACTTACCAGCTTGATGGAGGAGTTACAGCACTTTCAACAGATTTAGAACTATCAAATACTGCCACCTCTTTGCTAAGCCATTCACGCTGCATCTCTGTAAAGGATCTTTTCTGCCCTGTACAGCCAGGCTTGGACATGCTTAGGACATGCGCAGGCAATATTCTGCATGAATGAATTGATCTATGTCCTGAGAGGGCAGCAAGCTTTGCACCTCTTGTAGATACATATCTTAATGCACATGTACTCAGAATGCTCATACATCCTTTAAATATCATATTGCGACTCCTTTTGGAAACTGTTATAACTGAGAACTGAATGTGTATGTATACATGGGTAGCCAACTGTTATACACATGTTATTCTTTTGTATATAGTTGATGTATTTGCACATAATATCACATACATACAGCCTTTGACCTTCAATGTTGAAGTTTGATAGATGTTTGTATAGAGATAAATTTATGAGATCTTGTTCTCCACTTATTCATGAGGTACATTGTGACTTGTGACTTATGGTATCTTTGCTTGATTACTGACTAGGTGTATAGTTATATCCCAACAAACAAAGTTTGGTAGGGATATAGTTAAGCCTTCCATCCATACGTCCAATTGTCCTTCCATTCACTCATCTGTCCATTTGTCTTGTATAGGATATTGTCTTGTATAGGATATTGAGTTGAAAATCTAAATATTTAAAAAAACTTGTGGCTATCTAAAAAATGGCATATTACACTTTCTTATGACAATTTGGCTTACTTAGCGGCCATTTCGAAAAATGGTGGCAATTTTTATGTGTCTTTTTACAATTTTGTAAAAATGGCAGCCATGGCTGTTATGTGGATTTGGCTACGCTTTGGCGTTGCCGTTATCTAGTTATGGTATGTATTATTGTGTTCATTGCTAAATCAAAAAATAGGTAGGGTTAAAAATAGTTCAAGCTTTTTGTTCACCTCGCAATAAGTAATCTAACTGCAATATTAGGTCATTTCTATCGCTCAGAATTCCTTTATGTCAATTACAAAGATCAATTGACAATGCGTTATGGGAAGGCATTACCTGCAGTGGCAAGGTTACATAACAAAAACTAATATTATAGAAAGAATATAGAAAAATGAAGTGTCATTGACTCATTGTCTGGTATTGTTTCAAAGTACTGACTTTCCTAAGGCCTAATTAGAAAACATATTTCGTTTTGCTTGTAACAGGGGCTTTTGTCTCTAAAATGGGGTCGCATAAAATTGCCTTCTAAAAGTAACTTTTTATATTTATTTTTGTTTATTTTTTCACATAACTACTTTCCAAGTATGATATAAATTGACTTTGATGAAAATTAAGTTCTTTTGATTAACAAGAGAATATTGAAAATTGAAAATGTCAAAAGGATGATTCCCACAGGATGCAAACGTCTGCAATAGTAAAACATCTGCATGGCGCAATCTTTTTTCAAATTAGAAAATAAAATGCAAAGAGAATATAGTGAACATTGTATAGTCATTATTGTTCTATATAAAAAGAAGCACCACAAAGAAAATAAATGTTTTCTATGAAATTAATTTTATGAAATATAGTTTCCAGGAGAGAATAAGAGGGTACATTCTAGGCAAATAATCTAATACTCCATGTGTCTTGATTTACTTGGAGAATGCACTGGCTAGGAACATGTTTTGCTTTATGATAAATCACTGCGATAGATCATACTAAAAATGTTATTATATATAGTTAAACCTGTCTTAGTGAACACCTAGCTCTCTATAGTGAACACTTGTGTTTAGTGAACACTGCTTCAAGACACATTTTACATTGACTCCTGTATAAAATCTCTGTAGAGAACACCTACCTATCTCTGTAGCGAACACTTACCTACAGTAAACACTTTTTGTGGCTCTTTAGGTGTTCACTATATACAGGTTTTACTGTATTATGGTAATTTTAGGTGTTTTGTTTTCATTATTAATTGTGTGTGTTCTGTTATACTGGGGTCGCCGGGTTGGCCTAGTGGTTAAGGCATTGGTCTGAAAAGCAGGAAGTCTGGCTTCAGGCTGGAAAGTAGAGGTCTTGGGTTCAAACCCAGGTCACAGCACTTCTTGTGATTTGTCTTTGACCTATGACTACTGACCTATACCGGCGATTACTAGAGTGCTGCTAACTCGATAAAAGGCTGGCGCTGGCTAGAATTGTCTATGGTTTTAGCCAGGATAAAGATACCAGTTCTTCAACTTGACAATGGGAAGAACTACTCTACCTTAGTGACTAATATGTCTAGATATGACATCTAAAGAGTCAATAAAAGATATATATACAGCAAATGACATATAATACATGTATGCTTTATCAAAAATGCTTATGTTCTCTTTGGTAATTTGTTTTATTTCAGAGGACATGCTGAAGCTGTTGAATCAGTTCTATAAAAGGCCAGAGCTACAAAATCTTGCCAAAGAAAGTGGATTAGATCGTAAGTAGAACCATTGAATTGCATGTGATTTCATTTTGCAATTAATGTGAATGAGTTGGTTTTATGGAATAGTTCCATCTTTTAAATTGCAATTAAAATTATTTAAAGGCCTCCTGCAAAGTTTGAAATATATGTATTATGATATTATTTCATCATTTAAATGTTACTTTTTATGACTGTGAAACTATTTGAGACATTTTTTGAAAAATGTGACTTTTGAAGGGAAAGTTGTTCGTCTTATAATTTTCAAATATTTGAATATCTCGCCAATTGAGAAACAAAAGTTTATACTTTTAGATCATTAGATACAACACTTTTTCAAACAAAAAGCCCTTCAAATTCGACTTTTTGAAATTAAATTAAATGGTTTAACATACCACATTTTGATATCATTGAGTAGTAGTATGGTGTAGAATTGATAAGCAAGTACAAGCAAATAAATAACAATTATGATGCAATGTCACATAGAATAATCATTAGCAATACAACAGTTGTAAGAAAACTAATCAAATATCATTTTTTAAACATCCTTGTAAAGTTAGAAATCCTATCATGTTTATTGTTGAAGGGCATGTTTTCACCAGATTATATAATTTTACCCTGATGTTACATTTGAAGTTGTTGCAAGAAAAATTCATTGTGTGATAGCAACAAACCTAAGTGGACGATCTTTTCAGTTTATGACCCATGTCACTGTTTTTGTACATTCAATTGATTCTTACTTTTTTTTGAATCACCCGAGGTATCAGTCAGTTGATTTTTGCAAGTTTCGCATTATTCTGATTTTTTTGGGGCAGAGTTAGAGTCTGAGCTACTTTAAGTATCAAAGAGAGCAGACCATGTTTTTGTATTTGTAGATCGGCTATTTCACCAGGCTTATATAGGATTTAGAAGATTCTGTATAGAATCAGAGGCCCTTCCCCCAGATATACACATAGTGCTTAGTGATATTCTTCAAGGAGCAGGTAGGATTTGTGGAATTGCATCCATTTTTGCTTTTAAGTTTGTTTTTGCGTTGTAGTATTGATGATCATTTCATCATTAAGATGGCACTTCTAACAGTTAACAGAGAAAATGGTTTGCAACAAATTAGATCTTACACTAATTATACAGCAGTTTCTTATTTATGAAAGCAAGACTTGCTTTTGTTTTGTGAAGCGATGTGAGGTCACATGATAGACTGTATTTGTTCATTGTCTCCTTTGGGCATTGTCTTTTATTCTTGTTTCATAATGAATTTATAAATTTGATATCATCTTGTAATCGGATCATTCTGATGCTCATAGCATCTTTCTGTTTCACCTGATCTGAAAGGGCTGAAAAGAAATGAGATGTCATTGTTATATCGTGATGTAGTTAGATGGCAAATTGTACAAAATGAGAAAATTATTTTGAAAAGAAAATCACTTTTTGAATATCTTTTTTATTTCAAAAACTTCACTTCTAAAAAGTCTATATTGTCAACAAGAGTGGGTGGGTGGTCTAGCAGTTCAAGTTGAGAATAAGCATACATGTATTTATGCATACATATATTCATTCTCAACAGATTCAGAGTTATTTTGTGACATACTTGTATGTTTTAACTGAATTCAAGTGTAGTCATTTTCAATTTATAGTTTTTCTTGACATTCAAGTTTACTGAGTTTTGTCTGATCCTTTTGGCTCCTTCTTTGGATACTCTCTAGGATTGAACAAGATCCATCTGATTGATGGACAAGTGCCTTATAAATGTGAAAAAGTGTCAAAGTGTCCAAAAACTTCACTTCCAATGAGAATTTTTTGTTTACAAGGGTGGGTGGTCTAGCACTTAAGTAATCGGAATAAAATTTAGTGTGACCTTTTGAGATGATCCCTTAAAGCTTCTGACCTTATTGCATGTTATGTTTTAGGTCATGTGGATGATTTGTTTCCCTACTTTTACAACTATGCCAAGGAGATGTTCCCACATTTAGAATGTATGGAGGAACTGAAGAAGATTAGTGATCTTACACTACCAGCTAATTGGTATGTCTGAAGGGCATTAATCTACTCAAAACCCTTAGTTATTTACAAACATTAATTTCAAATTAGCTAGCTTAAGAAATCTCCTTTTTATGGGGTGTCAGTGAAAGATTTGCCATGGTATGTTTCTCTTTTTATCGCACTTTGAAAAAGCACTATATTTCTTTTTTTATCAATGTGCTATATACACCTAATATCGAGTGATAATGGTATAAATATTTTTATAGGCACCCAATGAATGAAAATCCCTGCTTAGGATGTCAATGTGAAATTAGAGCAAGTGAAAGCTTGTGAATCAAGATGAATTTTTGTTCTCATTATAAAACATGAAGATCCCAATGAAAATGTGATTTAATTTGTTACTCCAAGGTACCCAGAGGCCAGGGGTGTTCAACGTAAGATAATTTACCACGCAGGTCCGACAAACAGTGGAAAAACCTACCATGCCCTCCAGAGGTTTCTCACTGCCAAGTCTGCTGTATATTGTGGCCCACTCAGACTGCTGGCAGCTGAGGTATATAAGAAGTCAAATGAGCAGGTATGTGTTGAGTAGACACATCAAAGGTTTTTGTGTCAGCTTATTATGATTAATGACAGATCGCATTAACAGGGCACATGATCCCATTCCATGTTTCAGCTAGAAAATTGCGATTTGAACTGAATCTCTGAAACAATGAGTAATCAAATTGACATTGATAGCCCTATGGCTTCAGTGGTTCCATCACAAATATTTACTCAGAATAACTTATGTATATTATGTAAAATAAGATTGAGATTGCAGATATCACTAATAGCCTTAATTCATAGGAGACTGATAAGAATGCAGTGGTGAAATCTTGAAACCCTACCCTGCATGCATTATCTGATCATTTCTGAAATATGTACATGTTAAATGAAATGGGTGGGTTTACTTCTAGGGCACACCATGTGACCTTGTAACAGGGGAGGAACGTCGCTATGCAGATCCAGATGGTGAGCCAAGTAGCCATGTTGCTTGTACAGTGGAAATGACAAGTGTCACAACTCCTTGTAAGTTCAAGTCTTGTACTCAGTCTCCAAATTTTTTGTGGATTGTGTTTGGCATTCAGTTGTTGGCATCTGTTGTTTGTAACAAATGGCAGGTGGTCATTTTGCATGTTAATGCGCATGTTAATGCCTTGTTTATCATAGTGTCTCTTATCATTTTCAAAGTTAACCATCTTGAAATAAGATCTTACATTTTGGTAAAAGTTTGAATTTAATTATTTTAAAACAAACATGGCGGACTGTGAAGTTTGAACTAGTGAGACAAGGTTTAAATGGTCAGCCCCAGGATGAAACACATTCTAGAAGCAGATTGAATTATTATACATATCCAGAGGGAAAATCTGAATTGCGTTTGAGTTGCACCTGCTGCAACCACTTCCCTTACCCTGGATTGACCCTTTGTTCATTTGATTTACAGTTCATGTATATGGTAAACAAGTTGCTTAACAATAAATGCAACTTGTATAAAATAATTGGTAGAATTGGTCTTCATTATATTATCTCTATTTGCACCTTGAACTATGCAATCTTTTGAACCTTCATCCTAGGTGTGTGTAATGTTGGTAAGAATAAAATCAATCAATAAAAAATTGTTTCACATAAATATTGAATCCATTGGGTTTTTATTTAAAAGTGGAAAAAGGTGCAAGTAGTTTTTTTTTCAATTTTGTTATGTTCATTGAGTGCTCAAGCTCTGATATTTTCAAAAAATAATGTCCACATATGTTGATTGTGTAAGTAAAGTATCATTGTGAATTAAAATATTTTTTATTAGTTATTTAGCATGAGAATTACAGTTGTTGGCCCATTAAATAAAGAGGTTGATAGGCATAGCGCTCAAATTTGGATATTTACTGTCATTTCTATCATTAACTTCCCAACATAATTACCCTCTGCATTCTTTCGACTTCACTTCTCCAAAGAGAGCTTTGTCGTCACAATGATCCAGCTAGAATATGCCTGAAACACACACAAGTTAATAATTCTTTTTTAATGTAAAATATTTGAATCATGTTTCAACTAAGTAAACACTTTTCTCAACACAGCTTTTTTCTCACATACTTTCACGCCCGGTGATCGTATTTTTCGTATGGAAACTTATTTTATAAATTCATCAATGACATTAATTTAGTTATGATAACATCACGAAAAATAAAAAATAATCGAAAATAATCAAAATGGGACGGAGGGGGGGAGGGGACAGAGGGGGGGGGGAGGGGACGGAGGGGGGAGTAATAATTCTATAAAGTGAAACAACTTCACACGAATTCTTGGATTTGAAAAATGAACTCATTAACTTAGTAAGAAACTGGATGATATACCCCTGGAGACTGAAAAATGGGGACATTTGGAGTAGAAGAACTTAAAGTCGCGAAACATCTCTAATCATGTCTTATATACATATTGCTCCCCCCTCTGTCCCCTCCCCCCTCCGTCCCAAATTCATTATTTTCGATTATTTTTTATTTCACGTATGGAAACTTATTTTATAAATTCAGCAATGACATTAATTTAGTTATGATAACATCACTTACAAGTATTTATTACAGGTCGTGTAGTCCATTGTTGCTTGATTTACAGCAAAAACGTTGATTTGTCCCTGTTGATGGCCTTGCGCCTTTTTTAATAGATCTCATACCTTAGATGCGGATCGTTTCAGAAAAAATCCCAGAAAACCTAACATATTCTACCATACCGTGCGCCTATCCATTTAGCAATTCAATAGTAAACTTTTTCTTGAAAAAATAAATCTTCCAGATTTGTTGAATTTCCTAGCAGAAATTGCCTGCTGCCCCCCTCCGTCCCATATTCACGATCACCGGGCGTGACTTTGATTAAATTAAATTAATTAGATTAAATACTGTCAATGTACTGTATTTATTCTAAATGGAGTTTAATGTCGCAGGCATTGATACCTCTTTTTTTTATCAAGGAATGTTCATGATTTTGATAGAATTTGTTTTGTTTGGTTGGATTTGGTCATGTATGGAATTGCTATATTTCTAGTTCCTGTTGAATCTCCAGCTGTGTGTAAACGATAATGACTACAATACAGTTTATTCAATGTTTTATTTTGATATGAACCTACACTACATTAGTTTATAGTAGTATAAGTGTCTCAAACTGTGAGAGCAAAAATGACTAAATGACTAAATAGCAACCCAAAATATCATGTCAGAAGTCACTACACATAGGATAAATAAGTTATCTGATACTTGGTTTAGTGTATATCCCTCCAAGCACTTGGTAGGATATCTATATTTCCCTTAGGATATAACAATAACGTAAGCATCATGTTTATTGTAACTGGTGTATGTATTTAGCTATGTATTGTATTAGTACCTCTGATTTCAGATGAAGTTGCAGTAATTGATGAAGTGCAGATGCTGAAAAGTAAAGACAGAGGATGGGCATGGACAAGGGCACTGCTAGGTAATTCTTAAGTTCTTCATTTGAATGTTCCAATTAGTGTACATGTTTATTGATTTGTTTGAGATTCCCAACTGTTAGAGATGTTCTTATAATACACTGACACTTCTATTCAAAACCTCCATTGTGATGCCTTATAATGGGTGTCATATAGCAATTATCACCCCCAGAGGATAAACTAGCATAGTAACTATACATGCAAAGTATCAGATTTGAATGTATAACAAAAGCATATAAAATCTATTTACCATAGACAAATATTGCTGAATGTTCTTGATTATTAAATGAATGATATATAACAAAGATGTTCTTTCATATGATATTGGCATTCAAAATTATGTTTACAATTACAGAATGAGCCAAATGTAACCTAAACAAATCTTAATAACTCAGTCATCCAGTCTGGGTTTTAAGTCACAATTTTATGGCCATTTTACAAAACATGCTCCAAATGCCAAAACTTACTAAAATCACCCAATGCAAACCTCCAGAAGCTTACTGTTTGGATTATTTCATAGAAAATGTGTATATTAACAACCCAAAAAGCACCAGAGAGTAAAATAATTCAAGTTTGTCTCCAAAGACAAGACTGGCATTTTGAGCAAGTTTCGTAAAATGGCCATAAAATAGTTACCATTCGCAATAGACTTGGTTGAATGAAAAGGCAATTATGCCAAATCTGACTTCAAACTCATACTTGATGACTGAGTTATTGAGATTTATCTGGGTAACTTTTTTTGGTTCACCCTGTAAATCATTACTATGAACATTAACTTTTGATATCATTTCAAGAATTTACTGATATAATTGTCTGTGTTGTAATTTCTTAGATAAACTGGACTTCATCTTCTCAACATTTACATGTTGCACAACCTTCCTGCTACAGTTTTGGGTTTGGGCTTCACATATCTCACTGATTCAGTTTTGCCTGGTGGGATTTCATCTATATCTGCCAATATCTAATCTATATTCATGTTTTCCATGCCAAAAGGTGTGATATTAGTAATATTACTAGTTGGTTATTCCAGTTGGTGCATACTTGTTGAAATAATAGTTAAGTTTCATACCTACATGTAGCAACCAGACATATAAATTCATTAATTTCATATTTTTCATTATTCTCATTAATCATTGGATGGTCTACATTCCTCATATATCTCATTAATTTCATTAATCATTATGGCTTAGATTAGATCTATATTGCACCTTCATTTCAGGTGTGTGTGCTGAGGAAATTCATGTGTGTGGTGACCCTTCTGCACTTGACCTGTTGAATGACTTCATGCTTCATGTGGGCGATGAAGTTGAGGTAAGAATAAATCTGTATAGACTAGAAAATAAAAAATAATATGTATCTGGGATTTTGAATTTAATGTGATCTGAATTTGAGTTCTTTTTGAAGTCCCAAAAAAGCAACCTATAGCCTACACTATGAATATCTCTTTTCAGATATATTCATAATTTTTCGTAAGTAAATGTGCATTTTTCATAAATTAGATACAATAAGAACAACATAAGACTGTGTTTGGAGCAGTAGGAGTTTATTATGTAACATATTATGTCACAAAAAGTTATTATTTTATTGATAAATGATAACGAATCTCCCACACAGTCAACTAAAGGCTGTGACTCAACAATACCTAATACATAATGAACAATATAAAAACCCACAAATTCAATGAAAGTCCAGTGAGGGAGGGTGTGTAAAATCTGCAGATGCTGATGAATGAAATGACAATGTGTAATGTGTAGGCTCAAAACTCATTAGCTACAATTAACATACATGTTAAACCACATCACTTTAAGATTTTATCCAGGCACAAATTGCTCAAATTTGAATGTAAATATTATCATATCTCATAAATAAATAAAATATTATGATCTGATATTTATCGGAACAGAAGCCATCTTGGATTTCCAAGGTATGATGTTTTCATATTGAAAATCAAACTTGGAAACGAGTATGAACAAAAGCAAGAACAGATGAAAATTGTCCTAGGGCTTGACAAAATTAAGATAATATGATATAATTTATTGTTAGATATCCCCCGGAGAGTAAATATTAAATATTAGCTTTTTTTAACATTACACAATATACATGTATACATGTGCATGCAGTTATATTCAAAAGTAAAAATAGTTACATTGTAATAAATATATCAGGCTTTCAAGAGAATGGTCTGCAACTTCCTCATGACCGCTACTAGGTACTGTTGACCACTATTTTTGTGAATTCTTTTTAAATTTTGAAAAAATGAAAAAAAATGAAAAAAAAATTTGTGCAAAAATACATTTTCTTAATTATGTAAAATATTTAAATCAATTTTAAATTAACAAATTTTTGAAAAATAAATTGAAAAAAATTTTTTTAAATCTCTTCATTTTGCAGTATTAATAGAAAGTTGAAAAAATCAAACTACTTTTTAGAAGTGATATTCAACGGTTATGTGGATTTTTTGCTAAAATATGTAACAGTACTTTCAAGGTTTACAATATCAGTGTACAATTTTGCCAGTTGACCTCAAGAGAGGTCTACAATTGTATACTGTACAATTAGTGACTGCCATTGAGGGAAATAGTGCAAAATATTTTTCCCGAGGGAATATGCTGTCCACTGACATGTTCCTGAGGCTGCAGGTCGAGGGAACATGTCAGTAGACAGGATATTACCCGAGGGGAAAAGGTTTTTCACTATTTCCTGAAAATGTGGCAGTCACTATTTGTTTTATCATATACCCCATGTGTCCTCTGTAAACAATAACAAAATAAAAAGTCTTTTAATTTCAACTTTTAATGCATACAGGTTCTTATCATTCTGAAACTCATAGCATCTCTCTCTGTTGCATCGCAGATTCAGAAGGATAGAGACAGAGAGGGCGTGGCTTACCATGGAGGGTTCTTATTGGCATTTAAAGGCATTTTGCCATTCAACTCCTACAATCCTAGGTAGCAGGGAAGATAAAAGGTACTAATGACTGGTCACATGTGGTGATAAGTACATTTTATCTTCCCTGTTATTAAGGATTTAGGACTTTCCAGGAAATTAGTGTATTTATTCATATCTTGTGACCATGAATAGACCATGAGCATCTAGAATACAAATGGGTATATAACTAGAGATCTAACGATCTAAGATTGCAAGCAATCTTACGGAGGCCCTATATTCGTTTCTGAACATTCAAAGGCCAGCCAAAGATCAAATCTCTAATACAAGGTCATATATGAACTCCAGACAACTTGTAGATGATTTTTAAAAAAGGTTTGGTCGAATTAATGCAAGTAGAAATTTGACCTTGAAAATTTCGAAATTTGACCTTTTTTCAGTTTTTGAGCTATAATATCTCAAAACTGGAGCCAAATTTTAATAGATAATCAATTGCTAATATGTGTAGAACCTTTAGTAGAGGAATATATATTCTGACTTTCATTTAAAAATATTGATTTGTAGTCTCCAATTTTGAGAAACTTAGAAAACACAGTTTGTGATTTCGTTTGATGACCTTGACCTTTGACCTTGCAAATTTTACTTTTTTAGACCTCAGAAGGTCTTTTGTGAATAAATATACCTAAATTTGAATCCAGAAAATCAATTTGAAAAATCAACTTTTTTGACCTTTCGGAGGTCACTGAAGGTCAACCAAAGGTCAGAGGTCAAAAGTAAGGTCAGATTTGAATTCCTGAGAACTTGTAGATAGTTTTTAAAAAAAAGTTTGGTCAATTTAGAGCAAGTTGAAATTTGACCTTGAAATATTTCGAAATTTGACCTTTTTTCAGTTTTTGAGTTCTAATATCTCAAAACTGGAGCAAAATTTTAATAAATAGTCAATTGCTAATATGTGTAGAACCTTTAGAGGAATATATATTCTGACTTTCAGTAAAAAAAATTGATTTGTAGTCTCAAATTTTGAGAAACTTAGAAAACGCAGTTTGTGATTTTGTTTGATGACCTTGACCTTTGACCTTGCAAATTTTACTTTTTTAGACCTCAGAAGCTCTTTTGTGACTAAATATACCTAAATTTGAATCCAGAAAATCGATTTGAAAAATCAACTTTTTTGACCTTTCGGAGGTCACTGAAGGTTAACCAAAGGTCGAAGGTCAACAGTAAGGTCAGATTTGGAATCCTGAGAACTTGTAGATGAGTTTTAAAAAAAAATTTGGTCAATTTGAAGCAAGTTGAAAAAAGACCTTTTTTGACCTTTTTTTGACCTTCAATATCTCAAAATCTAGGCAAAATTTTTCTAGACGGCAAAAGGCTAAGACTAATAGAATACTAATATCTATCTGTATGCAAAAATTCAGCCAAAAATATTGAAGTGTAGTGTCAGGATTTGAGAAACTGAAAAAAAGCTTTGATTTGACCTTGATTTTGACCTTTGACCTTGACCTAGATAAAAAGTTCTTTCCCGCCAAGTTCAGCCAAGGTCCCTGTTAGGTGCATATAGGAGATGGTTGAAAGGTAGTTGGAAGTAGGAGAAAAAGAGGGAGGAAGAATAAATAATAACTAGAGATCTAACGATCTAAGATTGCAAGCAATCTTACGGAGGCCCTATATTCGTTTCTGAACATTCAAAGGCCAGCCAAAGGTCAAATCTCTAATACAAGGTCATATGTGAACTCCAGACAACTTGTAGATGACTTTTAAAAAAGGTTTGGTCGAATTAATGCAAGTAAAAATTTGACCTTGAAAAATTCCGAAATTTGACCTTTTTTCAGTTTTTGAGCTATAATATCTCAAAACTATAGCCAAATTTTAATAGATAATCAATTGCTAATATGTGTAGAACCTTTAGTAGAGGAATATATATTCTGACTTTCATTTAAAATATTGATTTGTAGTCTCCAATTTTGAGAAACTTAGAAAACACAGTTTGTGATTTCGTTTGATGACCTTGACCTTTGACCTTGCAAATTTTACTTTTTTAGACCTCAGAAGGTCTTTTGTGAATAAATATACCTAAATTTGAATCCAGAAAATCGATTTGAAAAATCAACTTTTTTGACCTTTCGGAGGTCACTGAAGGTCAACCAAAGGTCATAGGTCAAAAGTAAGGTCAGATTCGGAATCCTGAGAACTTGTAGATGAGTTTTAAAAAAAATTTGTCAATTTGAAGCAAGTTGAAATTTAGTCTTGAAAAGTTTCGAAATTTGACCTTTTTTCAGTTTTTGAGTTCCAATATCTCAAAACTGGTACACAATTTTAATAAACAGTCAATTGCTAATATGTGTAGAACCCATAGAGGAATATATATCCTGACTTTCAGTAAAAAAAATTGATTTGTAGTCTCCAATTTTGAGAAACTTAGAAAACACAGTTTGTGATCTTGTTTGATGACCTTGACCTTTGACCTTGCGAATTTTACTTTTTTAGACCTCAGTATATCTTTTCTGATTAAATAAACCTAAATTTGAATCCAGAAAATCAATTTGAAAAATCAATTTTTTTGACCTTTCGAAGGTCACTGAAGGTCAACTAAAGGTCATAGGTCAAAATTAAGGTCAGATTTGAGTTCCTGAGATCTTGTAGATGCTTTTTAAAAAAAAGTTTGGTCAATTTAGAGCAAGTTGAAATTTGACCTTGAAAAATTTCGAAATTTGACCTTTTTTCTGTTTTTGAGTTCTAATATCTCAAAACTGAAGCAAAATTTTAATAAATAGTCAATTGCTAATATGTGTAGAACCTTTAGAGGAATATATATTCTGACTTTCAGTAAAAAAAATTGATTTGTAGTCTCCAATTTTGAGAAACTTAGAAAACATAGTTTGTGATTTCATTTGATGACCTTGACCTTTGACCTTGCAAATTTTACTTTTTTAGACCTCAGGAGGTCTTTTGTGAATAAATATACCTAAATTTGAATCCAGAAAATCGATTTGAAAAATCAACTTTTTTGACCTTTCGGAGGTCACTGAAGGTCAACCAAAGGTCACAGGTCAAAAGTAAGGTCAGATTCGGAATCCTGAGAACTTGTAGATGAGTTTTAAAAAAAAATTTGGTCAATTTGAAGCAAGTTGAAAAAAGACCTTTTTTGACCTTTTTTTGACCTTCAATATCTCAAAATCTAGGCAAAATGTCTCTAGACGGCAAAAGGCTAAGACTAAAAGAATACTAATATCTATCTGAATGCAAAAATTCAGCCAAAAATATTGAAGTGTAGTGTCAGGATTTGAGAAACTTGAAAAAAACTTAGATTTGACCTAGATTTTGACCTTTGACCTTGACCTAGATAAAAATTCCTTTCCCCCCAAGTTCAGCCAAGGTCCCTAGTAGGTGCATATAGTAGATAGTTGAAAGGTAGTTGGAAGTAG